TTAAGTGTCATCCCATACTCGCTGTGTGCAAGACTGAGCGTTCGTTCTAAAGAGTCATGTTCACACAGCGCCCAACTTCCAGTTCCATTGGGTGGGTGGGTCTGCGCAGGCCTCTTAAAAGTTCTATTTCTCTGGAAGGGTACAGCTACTTGCAATTCTCATTCATTTCATGTTGTTCAGGGTGCTTGAAACACCAGGTAGAATAAAGAATGTGTAGCAAATCCAATCTGACAAATATCACATATCCACAGAGCATAAGATTTTTAGTGCTGAGTGCAGCAGGCATAGCAAGAACAAAGATAGCATTTTATCTGTTGATAGAGAAAGAGATTCTCACCCATCCTATGTAGCACATCTATGCCGGCACTGCAAGCTACTAAGTGTAGAAAAGGCAGGTGTTTCCCACTGATTGCAAGCATATAAACTTCTTTCAGAAGCCTGAATAAAAATGGTGATCCCATTTAACTAGCTCTTAACTAGCCACTTACAGATTCAATAGCCAGGTTGTATGCAATGTGACACTATGTTTTTCATTCTTCTGAGGGTCAACGTGCTCCTTTTATGTGTAGTATTATCTTCTATCAGATTTCCATTGAAAAGAGTAACACCTCAAATGTTAAAAACCTTACTCAAGGCTTATTGTCATTCAGATTCAAATACACCACCATTATCTTCCCTGCTCAGGGTCAACACTCCCTTGAGCAATTACTCCTACTTCATTTTTACACATTGCACTATTGTAAGCTGCTGAATAAGTTTATTTCCAGCAGCTCCTCTTTGTTACATGCTGAACTAGTTAAGAGCAATGCCCTGAAGAGGAGGAAGTGGCAATGGAAAGCAGAGGACTATAACAAGTATAAAATAGTTTTAGGCAGGGCCATCTCTTTCCAACTTTTGTTGGCTGCCAAAATAACAGAGATGTTTGTTCGGTATGTTAATCACAAAGAGAATATGGGCTCATGTCCCATTTGCAGGCATTGAAGTCTCTGCATATTATTGAACCTGACGTAGGCAGGATGGCAAAAGTTAAGTAACACTAAGCTTCTATCCCAATTTATGAAAGCAGTTGTTAAAAGTTAAGAGTTTCAGTTGGTTCCTAAAATCAATGTTAGTATATGCAAACCATCTGCATAGTGAAGATACTTGATCTATCAATGTGATGACTGTTCCAGTCGAGTCAGTAAACTATAATAGTACATATCCCCAGCCCCTAACGGGAGTGCTCCTATTTAGGGTTCCTGAGAGCCAGAGGCAGGAATCTTGTAACACTGTTTGGGACTCTCAGGACTAGCCACCCTCTTCCTCCAGCAAGGCTTTGCTGCTGCCTTTTGTAGGTGTGCAGTTCACTTAGGATACTTACTCAGAAGATCCAGGGGGCAGAAGGGGGCAGCCTGAAGCATTTTCCATCTAGGTGAATTCCATCTAGGTGAATGACGAAGAGCTGCAGCAGCAGACTGGCTGAGGACTCTGTTTCAAGGAGCATGTTGGAGCCTTCTCCACCAACAACCCCACTTCTGAGTGAGAATCCTTCCCTGGAAATATCATCTGGATTTTAGCTCTTATATTACTCCTGGCCAATAACTCAAAGTAGGAGGAATGGCTTAAAGCTTGAGAGTAGAAGAGAATTACTCTGAAAACCAGATTGGATGCTAATCATTTTTAGGACTATTCTTGAAATGTATTTGTTGGTTTTATAACAGTGAACTGTTGAGGCTTCTCCAAAGAATCCTAGGAACGTCATTTATTACAGAAATCTCCCCATTTATGCAAGGGTTGTGTTCTAAGTTTCTAAAAAAACTAAGTTATAAAATGAAGCTTAAAAGGGAGATAGGAAGGGGTACATTTACACCTCTTGTATACCTCTTGGGCTATTTATACTTCTGTTACATACTAAAAGGGCCATGTTTTTAAGGGGCAATTCATATTTTTGTAGCAGATATACAGATTTGCATGTGTGCAGGAGATACACAATTGGCCAGTGGAGCTGGTCAGCATGTGTATTCATACTGCACATCCACCCGGATGTGCTTCCGGCTCCAGATTTTATTGTGCTTGCAGCAGTAAACACAGAAAAGCATGAAGTAGACACATGTCATGGCAATGAGCTGTAACTGGCTACAGTTTGCATCCATTGTATGTTGTCAAATACACGCCATCATTTAAAAGCACTGATTTTATACAGCAAACATATTGTCATGTAATGTCCAAAGCAGGCACTCTATCCATTATTTTGCTCCTAGCAATCCATGTTCCTAACTGGAATCTGGCTTGGTAAAATAGTGATCAAATGTGCAGGAAAGAAAATGAAGTGTTGGACTTTGTATCCTGTGCACTGTTGTCTAACTAGCATTTTAATAATTATCTTGAGCATCTGGTGCCATTTAACCCTGCCCTGCTCCGTGCTCCTTTGAATCTTGGCATTCTTTCCAGTTCTAGGCTGTCTCTATGAGTAAGAGCCAAAGTGCAGAAGACAATTCCCATCCATGTCATTTTGCAAATAAGAAGTCCTGGAGCCATTAAGTAATAGTCCATTTTACTCACAGTAAATTATAATTTCACCATCCCTCAACAAGCACACCACTTCCAGTGAGGCTGTGAGGCAGATCCAATCCTAATGTGCAGCACATTCACTCCATCAGTATCTCTTTTCAAGTATGAGTACTTGTACCACAACCAGAAATAGTCACCCATAAAAGGTGAGTAGGAGTCAGCTGGAAACACATGAAGGTGCTAGATGAATGAGAGACCCAAAGACAGGCCATTGGCTCTTAAAGAACTAGGATAGGATAGACACCATGCTAAACTAACACCAGCACTTAGACCTGAAAGTTAGCAAGAACTATCTCTGTAGTGTCCCTTCTTCGCAGGGGCTCAGCAATGGAATTTAGTTTTCAAAGCAGAAACTCGCCAGACAGATCTATCCTTTGCTCTTTAAAGAACAGCTACCTACTACTTTGTACTGTTAGCTTTCAAACCACTCACAGTCTGCACCGTGACACGTCATCCACAAAACTCTCAGACCCCACTGAGGATATTTTACTCACAGATGTCTGAACATACGTTTGCTGTGTCTTAGTAGGCAACTAAATTGCTTTAATCTCAAAGGAGAACCTTTTATTTCATTTGTCTCAGCAGTTAAAATAAATTCAACCTGAACAGTTCGGTGTGCAAAGGAATTAGGATGGCAATCACCTGAAAATATTTTAAGGGGAATTTATTAACGTTTAGTGCAAGTTTACAATACTTGAGGTGGGATGTTGCTTTAAAAAGGCATGTGAAGTCTTCTTAGAGTAAGGGGGGTGGCATGCTTAGTAGTTGTGTTGTAGTAGTATCACAAATATGCCCAAGAGCTGTTATCAGGCTTTTAATTTGCGTGGCATCATAAAGCCAAAGGCAGTGGCTCCTTTGTAGTAGGTGCTTTGAAGTCTTTGGCGACAGTGAGGCCTCTTAGTCTTAATTTGGAAAAGTCTTCAGAGGTTGAGCATCCTCTGAGTTGGAGGGGGAGGGATCCTGTTATCAGCTAAGAATAGATCAAGCTACATTTGCTTACATGGATGAGCAGAGAGTAAGCTGACCCCAACACACAGGAATGTATAAGGGAAATTTCCATCTTCTATGACAACTAGTAAATAAGCACGTACAGTCATACCTCGGGTTGTGAACGCTGCGAGTTGCGCTTTTTCAGGTTGTGGACTGCGCCGAACGGAAGTACCAGAATGAGTTACTTTCAGGTTTTGGTGGTCGCGCATGCGCAGAAACACAAAATGACGTCATGCGCAGAAGCGCGTCACACACATGCACAGATGCGGTGCTGCGGGTTGCGAACACTGCGGGTTGCGAACGTGCCTCCTGCACAGATCATGTTCGCAACCCAAGGTATGACTGTATGCTACTTCAAGGCAAGGCTTTCCCAAGTCTCTACCTAGCATGTGTGTGTACACATACACCCAACAAGATCTGTACAAATTATTTATTGACCCTTAGCAGTTGTGCAACACTAAAAAAAAGTATCCCTAAACAGCTTATGACACCAAATAGAAGCAATCAGCCACAACCCTGACATATGGGCTACATTCCCTGAAAACCTTGTAGCATCATTTCCCCTCTATCCCGCACCTCCTCTTTCTTGGGTGACCGTCTATGTAACACTAACAAAACAAAATCACCCACAACCAGCCAACTTGTTACAGCTGGGTTCCCAAGGCATCACAATTATCACCAAAAGTTAAATGGAACAGACATTTAAACATAGTGCTTTTTCCAAAGAAAAGAAAAGAAGAAGAAAAAGAATTCCCCCAAGTCCCTCAAAGGCCTCCTGGCCAATTTCATATATATTAGTGTTTGCTGTGGTTTGTTCCTGTTCAGATCTTCCAAACAAGGACACACACTCTCTTCATCTTATTGGGGTGCCACAATTCAGCACGGCAGCCCACTTAGTTGCCTTCCACCGATGGGCAAGTTTGAGGAGATCCCTTCCAAGAAAGAGGAGAGCAGTAAAACAACATACATGTAGAAAACACTCAATCCTTAAAACAGGAGTGTACACACCAGTTGAAGTAGTCAGCTGATGATGGAGAAGTGCGGCCTCGATGTAACATGGGCTGCTTGTGCTCCTGAAAGAAGAAACTGGTGCTGAAGTTGCATCATTGTCCAGAGGGATCAGTTCTTAAAAATGGGGCAAGAGGCTGACAGCGATGTGCAGATCAAGTTCTCCAGGCACAGTCACAACAAATAGCTTGAAAACGGTGTCACTCTGCTCCATGTAGCCTTGTTCCAATATTTCTGCAGGATTCAGACAGTCAAGCCTGGAGCAGTCGTAACAAAAGCAGCCTCAAGAGCAAGCAGGGAGAAGCAATTCCCTGTCAACAGTCAGCAAGTCCTACAGCCCTTTTAAATATGGAGAAACAGATTCAAACACACAGCACCCCAGCGACATGGCAAAGGTTCAGTCTTAATTCTTTCCCAGGAAGAGATCGGCAGGGCAGGGCAGATATACAGAATCACTTCAGCTCACCGAGGAAGTTCAGGAGTGCTTTGTGGAACTCCTGAGGCTTATCAAGGTAACAGGCATGGCCAGCTCCAAGAAGCATGACAACTCTGGATTGGGGAATCTGTTGAAGGCTCTGAAGAGACTGAGTGCCCAAGCCAGTATCACGCTCTCCATAGATAATCAACGTTGGAATCTAGAGAGATCAAAACATTAACACATCAGTAATGTTCTAATGGGCCTGGTGGAAGTGAGCATGGGAAGTACAATCCCTGGAGCACTGCGGATGAAGAAATGCCATACTTTTATGTATGGGCACTTGTGGGCGCTTCTTTGAAAGCTCTGCTGGAAATGTATTTGTAACATTTCTGGGCTTCCTTTCCAGCCAAAGCAAGCGCTCAAGATGACATACAAAAGCACACATAAATCAGAACATTAAAGAGCAGCAGATTGAAAACTACTATAAGGCTATGCACTCTTATAATATACATTTTAGCTGAAAGTGAAAAGGTTATAGGGGCCAATCATCAGCTTGGTAGGAAGTTTGAGACTGGGATTTACAATTGCAGATGTACTATTCCCCCTCGATTCTCACCTGACGAGAATAATAATAATAATTTATTATTTATACCCCGTCCATCTGACTGGGTTTCCATAAAGCAGCCAGTGTTTGATGCACTACTGTCCCATATGGTCAGCTACATACCATGCTGTATACATCATCTGGACTAACACAATGGCCAAGCGATTGGCCACAGGGCTTATTTCCACCAGCTTCTTTCTTTTGTGATTATGAAGCCAGGGTGATTGCTATGCCTGGCAACGCTCATCATCACTTCACTTTTGCAAAGCTCCACATCTCCTTCCTAATTATGCATTTCAATGTACACCAAATAAATCTGATTCAACAAGTGTGCCTGTTGCCAAGATGCAAAGCAGAAAGTCTACCTAGAGACCTTCAGGCAGAAGAGGATGTTGGGAACCAAGTATCTCCCGAAGGAATACATTATTACAAACTTACATGACTGCACGCTCATGTGAGGAGCGACTTGTTTTGTAAAAGGCTTTATTTGTAACTGACTAAAGGGACTAAATGTACAAAACGTGTTGGCACAGAAGATGTACAAGAGTAGCAAATGAGGTGCCCTCCAGATGCTGTGGACGACATCTCCCATAAGCCCCAGTTAGCATGGCCAGCGGTCAGGAATGTTGTCTGCAACACCCGATGGGAACCACAGTGGCTGCCTCTTGCTATAAGGAGTAGGTAGGCCAGTGCAACTGAGAGAAGAACCCTGTTCTCATTGTAATCTGGGTGGAGTCCTGTGCACCTTCTGCTCTGCAGAAGCGTTGCACCCAGAATCAGGCAGATGAAACAAGAGAGCATACATTTCCGTACCTAAAGAAACTGTTTCCATATACAGTGGTACCTCGGGTTACATACACTTCAGGTTACATACGCTTCAGGTTACAGACTCCGCTAACCCAGAAATAGTACCTCGGGTTAAGAACTTTGCTTCAGGATGGGAACAGAAATCGTGCTCCGGTGGCGCGGCAGCAGCGGGAGGCCCCATTAGCTAAAGTGGTGCTTCAGGTTAAGAACAGTTTCAGGTTAAGAACGGACCTCCGGAACGAATTAAGTTCTTAACCCGAGGTACCACTCTACAGAAGAGTTAATAGTGAGGCAGCAAAAGGCAGAGACAGAATGGAATGGTGGGAAAGATGACTAACCAGGAACAGAGACAAGAGGCTGTATTAAACTAACTTTTACTCAGAGTAGAACCTTTAAAAACAATGTTAGTCATAAGCATTGATTTCAATGGATCTACTCTGAGTAAAAATGGTTAACTAAAACCCAAGGAGGCAGAAAAGCCTGGAAGCTGTTCAAAGTTACTGAACTCTGTTATTTTCCTGAAATTTCTTATCCTTAATCCAGTATGTATTCCATTCCCCGCCCCCTGCAAAAAAAGTCAAGCAGGCCTAAAGCTTCCTTCTAAACAATGACGGTCAACTTCCCTGGGATGCCAGATGTTATGCCAAATTCTGTACCTGCTGTGTGTACACATTATTGGTTTTACACAGGTTCCCTTCAGAGCATGAGAGCACTTGTGAACAAAGACTAGGCTGGCATTCAATTTTTCTGCTCCACCGCTAGAATCGTATGCTATGGCTTGCCCCCATGATATCTTTATCAAATGAGCTGCAGGCCACAACATTAGAAGGGACACCATGACACAGCTCCCTCTCTCTTACCTTGACCTGCTGATACTGCTGAGACGTGAAGTCCTTGGTGCCTACAGGTGCAATGGGCACAAAGCCCTTCAGCTGCTCCCCACTAGCCAGAAGGAACGGAATAGAATAGCGACCACTCATGGAAGAGCTTATCAAAACAGGCTGCTGGAGTCCCAACTCCTTGAAGACTTGCTGCAGGAAAGCAACACGGCCTTGTGCTGTCTCAACAGTGCTGGAGCTTGGGGACTCCCCATAGCCTGTTGAGAAACAGAAGGAACTGGGGTAATTAAGACAGCCAGGACACACACAGGCAACAATCAACATGCACTGGTGGAAAAACATGAGACTGATTCCAGCTACTAACTTTACCAACCGATCCCCATTGCCCAAAGTGAAGAAAACTATGCCTTGCACAAGCTCAGGCCACTGTCGTCCCTTTGTTAAGCACACAGATCTAGGTTCTTTCCTCAATAGGGTGGTTTTCCTCTGTCCAATCCTGTGGACAATCAGGGTCTTAGGAAGGTTGCAGAGACAGAGTTAATTGATCTTTGCCAGTGGTGGTTTCTTTAGTTACTTAGTGGTTAAGAGGGTGAGCCATGAGCCAAGCGCCTTCCATTTCAAATCAACCAAGTAATCTATAAGGTGGTCTCCTGCAAGTCACAGCCTCTCAGTATTATGGGAGCAATATTATTGAATTACCTTACAGTGCTATGGTAGGAATTACCAACATATTTGATTCCTTCTCTCAAAAATGCAGTGATTATGAATGCTAAGCATCATTGTCATTTAAAGAACCTGCACCAGCATTAAGTGTGTGGGGTGGGGGGAGAAATCACTCCACTAGCACTGAGGTTTGCTGCAAAATGCAGAGCTGAGTTTAGCTCCTATGAAACGAAGACTCAAGGAAGCTGAACATTCAAGGAGAGAGAACTACATGGCTTTGCTGCTAAACCAACTAATTTTCAACCTGAACTTACTAGCAATTACTTCTGGCTTCCTTTGGAGAAGATGCAGCGATCTGTCTAAAATTTATACCACTAAGCAAAAAGAACCTTCAACTCATAGGTCACTGCTTACTGCTAATTAGCAGCCACCTTGTGCTCTAATGCAAGCCAAACTTATCTAGGCTAGTTCTGCCACATCTCCAAGGCAATGAGTAACTATGACAAAGAATCCCAGAGCAGGGACCAAGCATTGCCCTCTAGTGAACAGTGTTGCCTGAAAGAGGAATATATCCAAGATGGGCAGTGCTGTTTTCCCTTGTCTCATTCGTCACAGACCTTACAGCACCCTGAAATGATGGGAGCTGTAGTCCAACAGCATCTAGGGTCCTAAGATCAAAGAACACTGAAAGCATCATTGGAATCTGGTGGCCTCATGGAAGATCTTCTAGGCGATCATTTGCCAGCCAGCAGTATAACTGGCTTATTCATGGCCATTGGGCTCAGCTGTCTGGGAATGATGTGAGTTATAGTCTAACAGCTGGGGAACTCAAGAAAACTGCCTGACTTTGTACAGTACTTCAGTCACTTTTCCCCCAATGTGATTGATGGGACAGGGATTTTGGCAGGTCCTTTATTTCTGTGGCATTCATGTTGTGAAGGAGTTAAGGATCCCTTTACCACAGTGGTGGCCAAACTGGCCCGCCAGCTGTTTTGGGACTACAATTCCCATCATCCCGGGCCACTGGTCCTGTTAGCTAGGGATGATGGGAGTTGTAGTCCCAAGTTTGGCCACCACTGCTTTACCAGTTATTGGCATCCATCTGCCTTGAGAGACAATGGAGTGTGCCTCTGGGGTGAAGTCAAACCGCTGCGTTAGCAGCACCAAAGTAACCTCCCCAGGGTGCAAGCCTTGGAAGTGTGTGTGAAGGTCTTGGGCTGCCCAGACAACAAGACCCTCCTCTTGGCCTTGCTGATGTGGTCCAAAGGACAGCACAGCACTACGTTTGGCACCAGCCTGGCTACAAGAGTTGCCAGAATGAGGCGTACAAGATGCCATTCAACTGTCTTAGGGATTTACTCCTTAGCCTTTTCTTCTCCAGAAGATATCCCACAAAACAGAGAAGGTTTAGGACCAGAGTTTTCCTTGTCCAAGAAGGGCTACCTTCCCAGACTGACTAGCCCAGTCTGCCCCTCACTTCCTCTACAACATGAGCAGAAACCGCCGCCTTGACTGTTGGAGCCACTATTGGTTTCATCTGATCAATTCGCCAAAGCTTGTCTTTGTTTTTTTGTTTTTTCTTTTTTTTTTCTTCCTTTTTTTTCTTCTTTTTTCCTTTTTTACCAAAGCTTGTCTTTGTATGGAGGGAAAGTCCCAAACTCACTGAGGGTTTGAGACCCATCAGCTACCCTCACCTGGTTAGATGGCCAGTCAAAGCTGCTCCTGGGCTGTGGCTGCTGTTGCATGCTGACAGCTTCTAGGAGCCTCAGCTGAGAGCTGAGTACGGAGTGGAGACCAATGTTAGACAAACTACCCCAGGAGAAGCATGACACGTCCCCCCCATGAGGTACAGTGGTACCTTGGATTAATTCATTCTGGAGGTCCCTTCTTAACCCGAAACTGTTCTTAACATGAGGTGTGCTTTTGCTAATGAGGCCTCCCGTTGGTGGCGCGCAATTTCCGTTCTCATCCTGGGGCAAAGTTTGCAACCCGAGGTACTACTTCCAGGTTAGCAGAGTTTGTAATCCGAAGCATTTGTAACCCGAGGTACCACTGTACTACCTCTCCCCTAACACCCTTACATGCCAAACCCCTGCCCCAGTTATGTGGGAGTAGTTCAGTGAACATAGGAAGTGGTGCTTTTTCTTATACCTCTGCTCACTGTCAACTAAAGTGCCGGTGATGAAGTTAGATACACACATTTTTATGTTATTTCTCCCTGATGAACTGCAAGAGCACATAAAGCTCCAACATGGGTAAGTCTGCAGCTTATTCTCACCAGGCAAATCAATGGCTATTGCACGATATCCATTCTCAGAAAGTAAAGCTAGTGTCCCCAATTCTTCCCATTTTTTGGAATTGAAGGACTGACCATGCAGGAAGATCACTGCCAACCTGGAAAAGAAAACACAGTGTATAGTCTATTTGCAAATGAAGAAACAAACAACAAATACAGAAGTAATGATAGCCTGGATGGGGGTGGGAAAGCAGTACAGATTTTCTGAAAGGGAGGGTATATACGCACTCCAGCGCTTCTGAGCTGCACACAGCCTAGAATTAAATGTAAATGAGGAAGAGAGTTCACACAGTAACACAGGACTGCAGCAAAGGATATACACATATTTAAGATACAGTGGCATAGTAAACAGTACTCAGGTTCTCCAACACAGAAAAATGAAAGTAAAATATTTTATAGGTGTGGGTATTGGGAATGAGGATTGCAGATCGTCACCATTGATGTCACCAGCGCTCACCAATAAAAACTCATGTCAAAGAAAGTGAGAAATTATTACATTATATGACTAACAGCAAGGATTTTGTTAGTGAAATATTGGAAAGAGAAAGAATTTCCTCATCTGAGGTAATAGTTTACAAAACTTTGGGAACTGGCAGCTTTACATAAAATTATCTAGTTGCTTTGGGTCTGACAAGGGTGGAATCTATCTATCTCTTTAGTGCTGAAATATTGTGCTTGACAGCTGGGAAAATGAGATTCTTTACAACAAATGTGCTAGCTGAGGAAAAAGGTGTTTGGATCTTCTGCAATAACATACTAGGACTTGCACAATAAAGCTACCACCTGAAAAGTCCAATAGGTTAGCACAACAAACATAGGAGGAAAACTTCAGCATCAGCAAGACTCAGCAGGCTATTGCTACGTCGAACATTTCTGCACTTTGCTGGAAAGAAACAAAAAGATCTGTGAAACAGCTGATCCAGAGGTAAAGTCTAGATCTGGATACTTCACCATTGTAACAGTCATCTTTTGGCACCTCTGAGTGGAAAAGTAACTGAAAAGCCAAAATGTATTTATTCTCCCAAGTGCTGAAGGATCGTTTTTAGCAGCAGAAGTGCAGCTACCAAGATACAGTGGTGCCTCGCAAGACGAAAAGAATCCGTTCTGGGAGTCTCTTCGTCTAGCGGTTTTTTCGTCTTGCGAAACAAGCCCATTGACGGGATTAGCGGATTAGCGCTATTAGCGCTATTAGCGGCTTTTAGCGGCTTTAGCAGCTTATCAGCTTATCAGTTAAGCAGATAAGCGGCTTAGCGACTTAGAAAAGAGGGGAGAAAGGAAAAAAACCCCAGGAACTCGCAAGACATTTTCGTCTTGCGAAGCAAGCCCATTGCAGATTCGTTTTGCGAGGCACCTCCAAAACGGAAAACTCTTTCGTCTAGCGAGTTTTCCGTCTTGCGAGGCATTCGTCTTGCGGGGCACCACTGTAGTTTTAATTCAAAGATGCTTTGGATAACAGCCATCTTGGTTTAGTCAACAAGCATTTGCGTATCTGCAGAGGCACCGAATGCACTGCTGGATCAAAGGAAGAACAATTTGTCAAAATTTGTTTTGTCTCTAGTAGTCTGATTATTGCATGAGGACACACTACTAGAATCATAACCTAAGCTGATGCAGTTGCAAACTGTCAGTATGTACAGGCTGCAATGGAACTTGTTTATTATTTAAGGTGACAAGGGCCATTTTATCTCATTATAGTCAGAGTTTGGGGGGGGCGGCTTACCTTTCAGTGAAGGGTGGCCCATCTTTCTGTACCTGTACAGCTTCTCTAAAGAAAACAGAGGGATTTTGCAGGACTGTCCCTGTCAAGATGGTGATGTTGCCCGTGCCTTGACCCTTATTCATTTCTTCCTCCATAGCCCGTGGCTTGGGGATGTCTACCGAGGATGTGAATCTCTCATGCTGGATTGCCGGCAGCAACAGGTAGAGGACGAAGGTGACAAGGACTCCTAAGACCAGCAGCCCCAGCCTGTTGCGGATCAAAGTCATAGTCATCTTTTCTGAAAGAGTTTGAGACAGAAAGGAAGGAAGAGAAACACTAGGATCAGAGAATTTGAACACGGGCAAGGAAACAGGTGAACTCTATACAGCAACTCAAATTGCAGGATTACAATGGAGAAAGGCTCAGGAAAAATTAAGGAGGCTGTGTCCAGAGTAGCCTCTCTTTGGGCATGTGGCCTTCTCTGTAACAGCATGCATACTCCAAATAAATAATAAAATGATCCCACTGGGTAGTGGTGCTTTGATCTGGGTTCAGTGTGGGAACCGTATATCCCCAAAACCTCTTCTGATTTTGTACCACAGAAACCTAGTCCTTTTGCTGAGAGGTTCAGAGAACCCAATATGCCCCAACTCATCTGGCTCAACATTAGCTACTTCAAGTTTGTCCCTGCATCAGTGATATTCTCCAAGTCTTTACGATACCTGCTGGAGCTGGGTAGGCTGTGGTCAAAAGTTGCAATTGCCCAAGCAGCTTAGGAACAATTAAGTTCTACTAATGCTTCAGCCTGCTTCTACACATTTTCAGTACATCCTCCAGGAAGAGCTCTGCTGGGTCCCATTTGCTGCAGTGGCCAACTAGATGCCACTGGTAAGCCCACAACCTGGGCAGGAGCACAATGGCACTCCCTCACTGTTTGCCCTGGCACTCGGAAGGGCTGCCCCTCTGATTTTACACCAGGCAAAGAAAAAAGGTGGGCTGGCATAGGCCACAAGGGCCACACTTTTAATGGGCCCCAACCAAGAGCTCTGCACTCGTGCTCCTCACCTACAGAGGGCAGGGTAAACCACTGCCTGCTTGTTCACGCCATGGCAGATGAGAACATAGTAACAATGAAAAGAAGTACAGCAGCAGCTTGAAACAATGAGAAGGTTGGGCCTGTACTAAGAGGCAGGGGACTAATGATAACTTGACTGAGAGCTCTCCAAAACCTGCAACTGACACTGACAACCTGCCATTAATAAAAAGAATGTATATTGCACCATGCCTCTTCCCCAGCACAATGGTCAGGGTCTGTCTAGAAGGCTGGCCTATCGTGTTTTTATCAGCACACAACTGGCAAAAATTCAGAAATGCGTTTCACTCCCCAGTTTACTAATGAATGCAGAAATTCAGCAGCGACTCACACAGTTATTATTGCACAGGAGACCTGTTAGTGAAAAGGTGACAACTCAATCCTCTTTTCTCTCTCCCCGTTTGCAACCCACCTTTCTCATACCCGTCCAGAGGGAGCCTGCTAGGTGTCCCTCTGTTGCCTCTTCCCAATACCTTTTCCAAATCCCCCCAGGTTTTTTCAAAATTTATTTTGCTGACTCACAACACACATGTTCAACAAGCATAATGCAATATACCTAATGTAACAAATAATACAAACTTCGCAGCCAAATGGAATAGCTGGTATCTCTAAACGGACTCTCATTGGTTGGCTTGTTTATCATTAGGCTGTTATTCCCATAGGAAACATGTTCCCATAGAAAACAAAGTTATGCTTCTCCTTATAGTGCCTAAGGCTGTACATGATCCTAAACTCTTAACATTCCAGTAGACATTGAAAAGGCTCATTTTTTTTTTAGTAAATGCATTGCCTCTTAAATCTCCCTTTCCTTAATTCTAACGATAATAGCTAATTCAACCATAAACTATATCCTACACTCTTAGGAGCCTTTTCTCCAGGGAAGGCAGACTGATATTTGTTCTATTTAGTAGTTACAGCTAATATTGCAGCTGTCAGTGAGTGAACCGTCATATCAATATTCTCTGGTAAAACAGCATTTTAATCATTACATGCTATTACCAATGGGCAATGAAATAGGCGCAGGAATCTAACATTTGGTGGGCCCTCAGTTCCCCAGCCCTGGTCAAGAGGTCCTATGCAGCTCACTCAACAGTGGACAGGGAGGGGGGGATTCCTGTTCCCATGAGCCCCAACCAGAATGACCAACAGTCAGGGATGATGAAAATTGCAGTAACATTTTGTGAGACAGAACACACCTTGATAAGGGGGAGGCAAAAGAGGGAAGGGACCCCAGATTCCGAAGATGTTTCAAAACACGCTGCTGATTTTCAGCAACTGGTATTCAGAAGCAGTACGGCCTCAAACTGTGGAGGCACAGCACAGTCACCATAGAAAGTAGCCATTGCTAGACTTCTCCACGAATTTGTCTAATCCTCTTTCAAAGCCATCCAAGTTGGTACCCATCACCACTTCTGTAGTTTAACTATGCACTGCATGAAGAAGTGCTTTCTTTTATCTGTCCTGAATCTTTCAACATCCAGCTTCACTGGATCTCCACAAGTTCTAGTGTCTTGAGAAAGGGAGGAAAACTTTTCTCTATCCGGTTTTTCCATGCTATGCATACTTCTATAATGCCACCTCCTACTCGCCTTTTCTCTAAACTAAAAAGTCCCAAACGCTGCAACCTTTCTTCCCAGGAATAAAAAACTTTCACAGAAGCTATCCCAAGATATTGCATACCTCACAAGGCTTGCAGTGATGGTAAATCTTAGCTAGTTTTCATTCCTTTGTATCCGTTACTAACTACTTTTTACTCAAAATAAAGAAGGGACAGAGATAGCCAAAACAAAGCTGCACACTAGTGTGAAATTCACAATCATAAGAAAGAAGGGCCAAAGCTTCCTGGCTCAGATTTCAATTTATCCTTATTCACCATAACCTTTCACCAGCTACCTTGTTGGATTTTATCCAGCAGCTGGGCTGCAGATTTGCTGTCCTTGAAGATGTAGGTTTTTCCCTGGTGCACCACCTTTAACTTTGCAGGGCTCAAGACGTAAGCCCGAGCTCCTGCCTTCAGGAACTGTTGCTTGAGTGCAACGAAATGCTTCCGCCTGGCGTATGTGGCAGGGCTGAGGTCAGGAAAGAAGGATACCTTGTGTCCGTTGAACTTGGTTGTCTGGGAAGCCCACGGTGCGTTCAGTATCCTCTCCCGATGGCGTACATCTGAGAGAGTTATTAGCACTGTACTGCCACTACCCTCGTGGGCATGCTTTGCTGGGAGACGGTATGCACTTTCAATGCAGATGGGAACCTCTTTCCCATTTAAATCCAAGGCAGCTGGCATCAGATTTTCTAGGTACGGAATGAGGTTGACATCTCCAACAGCTGCTGGGACACCAGTGACCCTTAAGTTCCGAGCTCGCACTCTGTTCTCTAGGCTCTCCAGCCTGCGGTCGGCCACCAGGCGCCCTACTGCCAGTTCCCCCATCAGAGTGGAGTGTTTGACAACACAGCTTTGTGTGGACACCACCTTTGTTTCCAGAGCTTCTACCCGGCGGTCCGTCTCTTCCAGGTGTTTCTCCAGTCTGGCCAGTCCAGCTGAGAGAGAAGCCAGGGCTTGACCTAAAGCATCCCGCTCAGATATTATCTGCTCCAAAAGCTCTTGTATCGAATTTGCCACAGACGAAGAGAGGTGCACCCGACGGATTCTTCCACCGTCTTTCAGGAGCATAGCGCTACTATCTCTTGGGCGCCTCTGAGCCCCAGCCATTCACCTCAGCAAAGAGGAAACATTAACAACCTCAAGAAGAAGCAGAGACCATTCCTGCCGGGACAAGCACACAGCTTCCCACTGCTCCTGCCTGGTTAAGTATAGCAAGACACACCCTTGTTTACAAGCCTTTTTTTTTTAACCTCCCACTTGCACACACACCTTCCCTTTTTCCCCTCCTCCAATTCCTTCAGTGACACAAAAAGGAGCATAAAGCAGGCACCTCCGATGAGGAAACCCTAACTGGACACTTGCTGAACACAGATGCAAAACTGAGTTGTCAGTTGTTATGGCAATTGTATTATTATATACATGCCAACATCCACATCCCAGAACCCCCAGATGTTCTACTCAGCAAACTATTCTCCCATGTAGTTGCAGCCACAGGTGCTCATAGATTTAAAAAGGAAGAAGGAAGCAAAACCAGGGAGCCCCAAAATGTCACCTGCTCCATCCCTCTTTTGGAAAACTCCCTCAGAGATAACAAATAGGTATACATTTTCAATGGTCTTGGGGGCCTGGTCAAAATCCCAATAAACTAAATACAGTATAGCAGAATTGGGGAAGAAGGGAGGGCGTTCTTTGCCATGGAGGAGTGTGCTTTTTGCCGTTTAAGGTGAAGCCGCTGCAGAGTTAAAACGAAAAGGAATAAAAATTCCTGAAGTAAACAAAGAAGGGTTTGCGCGGCGCTTCGCAACAACCAAGCTAGGCTTCTCGCCTCCTTCGATGCAAAACCTTGCAGAGAGGAGGCGGGAGCGTCTCTTAGCCAACTCTGACCCCCACTTCTCTCTCCCCCACCCCCTCCTGGCGGGTCTGGTCTCCCCCACGTCCGAGCTCCCCAACCCCTACAGGGAGCGCGCGCCCCCCAGCCAACGGAGCCGCGCGCATCTCCAGTCCCTGCGCGCGGCGGCGGCGGAGGAAGAGGCTTCTCCTCTGCCAGCCACGAGCTTTGCAGGCAGCCAGCGAGCCAGCCCGGCAAGCGCTGCGCTCCCCCGCCCAGGGGACAGCCCGGCCGGCCCGTGACGGTACCTTCACTTAGCAGCCTCGGCGGCAGCTGCGTCCTGCCTCCTCCCCCGCCCCCTGCGACACACTTCGACCCGGCTGGCTCGGAGCGAATGGCGCCACGGCGAAGCCTCCCCGCCCCGCTTCCACGGGGCCTAGCAGAAGAAGAAGCCGTCAGCCTGCGAGCCTTGCCCTTCTCCTCCAGGCGGAAGGCTACACCTAGCGGCCGGAGGAGGGACTACGCGGCGTCTCGGGCAGGAGCGACGCAGAAGGCGTGGTCGGGGCCTGGTCAGCTGCGGAGGGCGGGAGATCCCCTACTTGCCTTATGCATATTCATATGCATGGCTGCTCATGAATACACGATGATCGCAGATCGCGATGGCAAATTAGGAACTCTGTGTGTGTGTGTGTACGTACGTGTGTACCCCACAGTAGCTTTGGGCTGTGCCAACTCATGCATCCAAAACTCCAAGTGAGTGCCCCCCCCAGCCCAAATCTGTCTTGGGTGCAAAGACACTGTCAAATGTGACTTATTATTAATTGCACTTATTCGTTAGTACTTTTTGCAAAAAGTAAAAGCGACTTACAACCTGAGGTCCAGTTGTGATGGTGGGGTTCAAGATCTGCTATTATTTCTGCAGCAGGGTGCCTGCATCCAGCATCAGCAAGCCACCCAATGAGCAAGAAAGGGGTGCTTTTTAGCAATTGAGATGCTAATCAGAGTGAAAGGAGGTGAATTGGCCACTGAGGATTGGCTCCTAAGGTCATTCTGAAGGTGTGCAGGAAGAACACCAAGGAGGGACAGTTCTGTGTGCTCCAAAGCTCAGCATTTAAGAACCCTGGAATTATAAGATGCTTCAGTTTCTGGAAAATGGTGTGCAAGCTCTGTTAACTTGCAATGGGACGTCAAGAAAAAACAGCATAAGTCACCCAGAAAGAAGACACTGGAGCACTCAAAATCACTTGCCCATGAATTGTTAAATTGTTATTGTATAATTATAGGGTAAGATTATACACTGATTTTAGAAGGTTGTATAATCTTAAGTGTTCCCAGGATTCTTTGGTGGGAAGTAATATGCCAACCTAGCAGTTCGAAAGCATGTCAAAGTGCAAGTATATAAATAGGTACCGCTCCGGCGGGAAGGTAAATGTGTTTCTGTGCGCTGCTCTGGTTCGCCAGAAGCGGCTTAGTCATGCTGGCCACATGACCCGGAAGTTGTACTCTGCCAATAAAGCGAGATGAGCGCCGCAACCCCAGAGTCGGTCACGACTGGACCTAATCGTCAGGGGTCCCTTTACCTTTACTAATATGCTTTAAATATACAATGCTCTTTAGCCTTTGTGTAAACTAATCTGCTCCCACCCCCCAAAAACATCATACATTATCTAGCCATTAAGATAAGCTCCAGAAAACCTACTCTAAGATTTGCTGCTCCCAGATCATATCTCAGGAAGGAGAAAGAGAACCAGACCCTCCCTCCCAAATGCTGTTGGTGTGCAAATCCCAAAGCTCAATTCTGGATGTCTCTTTTCCGTTTATTCAAACTGCAGTCTGTGGTTCTCCATCCACAGTCAGGTTGCCTGGTCTCCCTGGCAAGGGGTGGGTGTCAATAGGGATGAATCATCTCCAAACCCTCATTCTGGTCTCAAGTCATCTACCTGTAGTTTTGCTAATAAAGGATGTGTTTCACAACATGGCCTGCTGAAAATAAGAAACATTTGCACTCATTTAGGCTCTCTCCTTTCTAACCCCTCCCAAACTTACAATGCTATCTCTGAAGTCTGATCCCCTGGCCTGGTTATCAAAAACAAACAAACAAACAAACAAACAAACAAACAAACAAACCAGCTTTTCTTATACAATACATAGAATCATAGAATCATAGAGTTGGAAGAGACCACAAGGGCCATCGAGTCCAACCCCCTGCCAAGCAGGAAACACCATCAGAGCACTCCTGACATATGGTTGTCAAGCCTCTGCTTAAAGACCTCCAAAGAAGGAGACTCCACCACTCTCCTTGGCAGCAAATTCCACTGTCGAACAGCTCTTACTGTCAGGAAGTTCTTCCTAATGTTTAGGTGGAATCTTCTTTCTTGTAGTTTGGATCCATTGCTCCGTGTCCGCTTCTCTGGAGCAGCAGAAAACAACCTTTCTCCCTCCTCTATGTGACATCCTTTTATATATTTGAACATGGCTATCATATCACCCCTTAACCTCCTCTTCTCCAGGCTAAACATGCCCAGCTCCCTTAGCCGTTCCTCATAAGGCATCGTTTCCAGGCCTTTGACCATTTTGGTTGCCCTCCTCTGGACACATTCCAGTTTGTCAGTGTCCTTCTTGAACTGTGGTGCCCAGAACTGGACACAGTACTCCAGGTGAGGTCTGACCAGAGCAGAATACAGTGGCACTATTACTTCTCTTGATCTAGATGCTATACTCCTATTGATGCAGCCCAGAATTGCATTGACTTTTTTAGCTGCCACGTCACACTGTTGGCTCATGACAAGTTTGTGGTCAACCAAAACTCCTAGATCCTTTTCACATGTACTGCTCTCAAGCCAGGTGTCACCCATCTTGTATTTGTGCCTCTCATTTTTTTTGCCCAAGTGCAATTCTTTACATTTCTCCCTGTTAAAATTCATCTTGTTTGTTTTTGCCCAGTTCTCTAATCTGTCAAGGTTGTTTTGAAGTGTGATCCTGTCCTCTGGGGTGTTAGCCACCCCTCCCAGTTTGGTGTCATCTGCAAATTTGATCAGGATGCCCTTGAGTCCATCATCCAAGTCGTTGATAAAGATGTTGAATAAGACCGGGCCCAAGACAGAACCCTGTGGCACCCCACTAGTCACTCTTCTAATGAACACATTAATAGGCATTAAAAGTGTACACGACTCATTCAATCAAAGCACAAAAATACATTTCTCCTTCACTGGAATGATTCTCTTCCTTTGCAGTGACTATCAGACTCCAATTTGTGATTGGAATGCCAGGTTCATTGACAACAGAAGCAGTGCAGGTTTGCATTTGTTGAATTTCCACCTGTGGTCTAGCTGTGAAAGGTACAAAAAAACTTGCCAGGGGGAAAAACAAACTAGAAAGGGAGAAAAATCTCAATTATATAATACTTCCATCACTTTGAGGAGATAGAAGCATAATGAGAAAACCTTTAGCATTTAAAGTTCATGTAACATGTTGAATGCAGTTTTACAGAACTCTATAATTATGTAAACGTTCACCAACAGTGATGTATGATGTGTATGGTAATTTTTCATGAATTCACTCCTACGTATGATACAATAGCATTCTAATTTACAAGCAGAAGATACTAGACAAGCCACCAACCTTTTCAGTCCTTCCTCTGCCCATGCTGTTCCCGTATTTCAACTTAAATATTGCAGAGCCACCATTTCTGCCTTCTCTTTCAAACATTCTGATGTGTGTTCCGAAATCTGCCATGCTTTCCATGGATCCAGTTACAAATTACACTCGCATGAAAAAGTGTATTGTTTTCTCACAGTATTGTATTTCTCACATTTCAACCCTTTTGCAGCAAATCACATGCATACATGCACGGTGTGTGATATTATTATACAATACAAACTGGTTTGTATTGGAAACCCATGTGAGAACAACCAAGTTCCTAGTCTCTGTGGTTTCAGAGAAGAGCTTGGAAATGATGCTGAAGCATATTGTGTAAGAAAAACACGGGGGCCTAAATTGAATGGTAGAAGTTTCTCTCATGTTATTTTGTTAGTTTTCTTTATTATTAAAACTTAGTTTACATTTATGTGAGCCGCTCATTTTTATCATAGAAAAAGAAACTCTGCTGAAGAATGGTGGAATATCCTAAACTTGGATGAATGAGGGGATATTCCCAGTTTGCCAGGAGGGTTGATTTTGTTAATCATCCCCCCTCACCTCCACAACATATTGTACCTGATGATTGGTTTTTTTTTAAAAAAAAAAAAGGAGGGGGGGATTGATTTCAGTTTAGCACTTCAAATCTTTAATTGTTTCAAACCACAGGTGGGCGACTTCATTTTATGTGGCAATTTACACTTCCTGAACTTACACTTCCCATGAGAGTTTCTTCCTCCCTGTTAATTTCCCTTTTATTGTACCTGGCTTTTTAATTAGAGTGTTCCCCCTCCCTTAGGTAGTTACAGAACAACCGGAAAGGGCTGTAAAAATGAATGGATGTCTTTATTATGGGTTAGGTAATCCAGAGCATTTGTCTCTGGCGCCACTCAGTGTCAGCTTTTCCCACCACTGGCATATACTCCCTGCACAGTCATGTTTTAAACCAACAAGTTTGTCTGGGCTTGTGCTTTTTAAAAACAAATCCCAAAGTACTTCAAATTATCTTCTTGTCTCCTCAGTCCTGAACGCAGCCTAGCCATCTTGTTTCCACCAGCCCAAGGAAAAAGATGCAGTGCACCTACTTCTACAGGTTGCTGCCAAAGGCACACTCCCAGTATTTTAAAAACAGCAGCAACAACTGTCTCATGTAGAACAGCGTTTGTTCAAAATAGCTGCATTGCAAGCAAAAACAAAGCCCTTGCAGGTAAAAGGAGAAAGGAAGAAAAAGGTAAGATTTCAGCCGCCTGCGTCTGCGCCTGCTTGGCTGTTCCTTGCACTGGCAATGGCTCACTCACTCTCTACGTAGTGGCCGTGCATGACATACACATGCATTTGTTTTAAATTTTGAAACTACTCTTGCACTTTTATTTATTTCTTTTTTTTTAATTGGCCGTTTTGCCTACTTGGAGTATGCTTGAAATGTTGGCTTTGGTGGGATTTTGTTGTTGCGCTGTTCCAGATAAATTATAAGGAAGAAGAAGTGTCCCCGTGCAGGAAAACACCTGCATGCATGCCCTTAATAGCCCTCAGGTATCCAGTACTGTACTAACTGTGAGAAGAGGACATCACACACGGCCAATATAACCCATCAAGCACGGCCGACAAAAGTGGGTGGGAAACACTGAGACAAATTTAAACGGAAAGCGCGCATATGTGGACGAAAGTGCGCGAGAGGGACAAAATTGGATCTGTGCAGGGCAGCCTACGTGCGCATGGACGCCCAGGTGTTGCGTACCTCCCGGTGTTTAGGCTGCTCGTCTAAGATCGCTTGTTGTGCCATTACTTGTCAAGATGAGTTCGCTGATGTCCATTAGGTGTCGCTAGTGTTCGCGCGAGCCTTTGCTTAGAAATGCTGTATATTTCCACATTTTGTCCCTCCCCTCCAGCCTCCGCCCCCGTTGCTCTCTTTCGTCGGGTTTCCGACGGTACCTTTGGATCCGGAAGTCGAGGGGAGGATCAACTCTTTCGACGATCGGACACGACGGACAGTGGCGCATTCCTGAAGCTTCCAGTGTCTTTGTTTCGGAAAGGGAGCAACTTGAGGGTAAGGTGGTGGGTTCGCTTTTCTGCCTGCCTGTCCCCTCGCCGTCTCAAAGAGCTGTTCCTCCGTTCTGAGCTGGTAACTTGGCCATTCCACTGCAGCTGCCAGGAAACGGGACAAAGTTCAGAAGTTGTCTCTCCCCGCCCCGCCATGCACTCATAAGAAGGTGCAGGAAAGACCCAGGCAGGGCGAGTTTAAGGAGCAGAGCACCTTGCTTCTTGCTGGGTTCCCAAGCGGCTTGCAAGTCATATAGAATGTGGTTGCATAAAATGAATCCTGGCCGCTTAAATTCTCCCCCACCCTATAGACTTGTTCAAAAGTTACCTCTCTGTGGAACCAAGTGGGCACTTCTTGAGTTATACAGCTCAACTATCTGTCTTTGTGGGCGATGGGAGTGTACACTCTTTGAATGTACCATGTGAATGCCCTTTGTGTAAATAATCACACATGAGTTAATAACATCTGGTAAAGGTAAAGGGACCCCTGACCATTAGGTCCAGTCACAGACTACTCTGGGGTTGCGGCGCTCATCTCACTTTATTGGCTGAGGGAGCCGGCGTACAGCTTCCGGATCATGCGGCCAGCATGATTAAGCCGCTTCTGGCAAACCAGAGCAGCGCACGGAAACGCCATTTACCTTTCCGCCAGAGTGGTACCTATTTATCTACTTGCACTTTGATGTGCTTTTGAACTGCTAGGTTGGCAGGAAATAACATCTGGACAAAACGCTAAAATCAGTGTGTGAAACTAAGGCTGCTTGGAAGCTACGCCCACTTCCCTAATCCCAGGTGAGGAACATGATCTACAGATACTCAAAGGTCTTTGTGCTCTTTCTCACTATTTAAAATGTCCCCTGGATAAATACTGATGGTGAAAATGGGCTGCATAGTTCAGTCCTGCCAGTGCCTCAAATCACTTTGGTGTCCCGGCCTCTTGCATTATTTTACAATTATATATGACAGCAGATTACACCCCAGTTCTCGCAGTATTTGCACTGCAGTAAGATAAGTGCTGGTGGTTCAAACAGGATAGCACGATGCACATCACTTGATTTCTCTAATATTATTCCTGTGTGCTTGATTATATCCATACACACACACCACCTTTCTACTCCCTTGAGCTCAGGATACTTTGAACCCCCAGAGGAAGTGAGCTGGACTAGGTGAGGTGGTGAAAGCATTGTTTGCTTTCTGAGTTTGTAAGGAGATGAAATGGCAGCACTGGCTCATAAAAGGGCTCTGTTGGCATTCCTCTGAATTCACACAACTGTCAGATCTTGAGCTAGGAGATTATTAACTGGATTGCAGAGCACACTAGAATAGGCCCAGATTTGAAGGGAGAAGAACTGTACAAATGAGGTCTTGTGAGCAGACTTCTGCAAACCTTGCTCAGGTTAATGCAAACTCAGATGACAATTGCACATGTGAATCGGGCCATCACAGATCTGAAGGTTCTTCCACTCCATCTACACACAATGCTTTTCAATGGTGTCACAGTACACATACAGCTGTCACCTATCTGCACATGTGGCTCAACATTTTTATTGCCCCCCCAATTGCAAACCCGTGACCAGTTTGAGGAAAGAAGCATCAAGAATGTGGTTTTTAACCAGAAAAGGCTTAGCAGCGAGAGGAGGCAAAGCCCCGCCAGCATTTCCTCCTGCAGTTCCTACAATACTAATGAACGATCCTTTGCCTCAGGTGTCAAAAGCCAAGATAAGCATTCACCTAAAGCTGTATAATGAAGATGCAAGATTCACCTCTGTGAGAGGGAGTTCTACAACTTAGGGGCCACCACAAAGAATGCCCTCTCCTTGGCTGCTGCCACCCTGAGCTTTTATGGGCAGTGGAACAACCAAGAGGGCTCCCTCCACCGATTTTAGCACCCGAGGGACTTGCAAAGGAGGAGGCAGCCTTTCAAATATTTGTGGCCTGAGTCATTTAGGGCTTTAAACACTTTAAATGTAAGCACTTCTGCACGCACCATGTTGTGCCAGCTTTGTCAGTCAGAAAATAAAGTAGTGTCATCTCCTCCCTCTTAAAACAAACCATGATTTATTTGTTCCATTTTCTTCTTTTTATTTGGTGCTCTCATTTTCAGGCTTCCCAGAATACCCTCTTCAGCAGTGATGGCTGCTACCACCACGCAACTGACCGAGAGCACCATCACAGTGGGCGGGCAAACGCTATTTTACCGGCAGGTCCAGCCTGCTCAGCAGAGCCCCCGGTTCTCTGTCTTGCTGCTTCATGGCATCCGTTTCTCATCAGAGACGTGGCTAAACCTGCAGACTCTATCTAAGTTGGGAGAAGCCGGATACCGCGCTGTGGCTGTTGACCTGCCAGGTATGTCTGGATCTCGACAGGTGAAGGGATCACTTCCACACCTGTGGGCAACTCCAGTGCAGTTATAATTTGAAATGTAAGAACCTGGCCCTTCCTCAAGGTCAAAAAACTGATGCTGACACCCAGGCCCTCGTTCTTGTTTTGCTTTTTAACAATGTGGTAAGTCTCACTCATGTATGGAAGAACATGTGCAAAAATTGTCATGCAGGTGTGTGTGCCTTTGGGTTCTGATCACACACATTTGGCTCAGTTCAGTTATCTTGCCAAGCCATGGATGTCATAACCAAAGATAAATGTCCTAAACTATGCTTGGGCTTAGTTGGGTATAACAGGCAAACCAAGGTTTAGGGCTGCTCACCTGCTTTTGTTTTTCAATGGTGAGCTTCATCTCCATACTGCAGCAGCATCCTCTTCAGTCCTCTGAAGTCTCAGCAATGGCCATAACTGTGATTTATCAACGTTGCCTGAACTCAGACATAACAGCTGGATCCAGGATGAGCATGTATTTACCTCCAAAGTCCAGCAACCCCATCCCTGTCCTAATTCCCATGCCCCACTATAACTGAGCCTGTGGCTAAGCCTAAACACGTATAACTGAAACAACCAGCTGTTGGCTTCCCTGTTCACCCCCTGCTTTCTCTCCCTCTGTTTCCCCAATTTCAGATTTTAATTTGAAAGCTCTTTGGGTCAGACACCTGACCTCTTGGACTCTATAAAGCACCATGCACACTACTGATGAAAAATAAATAAATGGCAGCAGTAGCAAATCACAGTTAGTTACAATTGTGGTTTCAAAACCAGCCTCAAAGCGTGCTTTGAGACCCTGGTTTGGCAGTCCCCCTCAAATCACAGTTTGTAAGCTGGTGTAATTCCAAGCCTAATGTGAAACAGAGCATACAGTGGTACCTCGGGTTACATACGCTTCAGGTTACATACGCTTCAGGTTACAGACTCCGCTAACCCAGAAATAGTACCTTGGGTTAAGAACTTTGCTTCAGGATGAGAACAGAAATTGTGCTCCGGCAGTGCGGCAGCAGCGGGAGGCCCCATTAGCTAAAGTGGTGCTTCAGGTTAAGAGCAGTTTCAGGTTAAGAACGGACCTCCGGAATGAATTCAGTACGTAACCCGAGGTACCACTGTAATGGGAGCTTCCAGGCACATGTTCATTGCTGGATTGTTGCTGCTTGTGCATGCAAGGGTGTGTCCCTCCCCCCCCCCCCAACATCCACATTGCTTTGTTAGCACTGAAATGCCACCCTCTACTCATTCCTCCACCCAATTTATTCAGTATTCATGCTTCCCACATAACATGTGTGACGTGCAGTGTCTTGTTTCTTGCGGTCCAGGATTAGGTCGTTCCAAAGAGGCTACTGCCCCAGCTCCTGTCGGAGAGCCAGCACCAGCCAATTTCTTGAAGTCTGTCTTCGAGGCCCTGAAGCTAGACCAGGCAGTGGTGATCAGCCCGTCTCTCAGCGGGATGTATTCGCTTCCGTTCCTCTTCCAGCACAGTGAGATGCTTAAAGCCTATATCCCAGTGGCACCCATCTGCACAGAGAAGTTCTCAGCCACACAATATGCCGGTGTCAAAGTATGTCTGCCTGGCGGCTAGGCATGCAGAGGGGAGGGGATTCTGAGGTTAAAACTGGGGCAGGTCTTGTTTCAGCCAATGACACTTAACAGTGTCAGCTGCAGCTGTGGGGGAGGGGGGTGCGCCAAGGCCAAAATTAACTGGGTGGGCCCATCTCCTGGCTACTGTCACTACTGCTTATTCAGAGCCCTCTCTATCCATGCCCAGTTGGCACTGCTGACCAGAAGAAGAGGAGTTTGGGTTTGATATCCCGCCTTATCACTACCCTACGGAGTCTCAAAGTGGCTAACATTCTCCTTTCCCTTCCTCCCCCACAACAAACACTCTGTGAGGTGAGTGAGGCTGAGAGACTTCAAAGAAGTGTGACTAGCCCAAGGTCACCCAGCAGCTGCATGTGGAGGAGCGGGGAAGCGAACCCGGTTCACCAGATTACGAGTCCACCCCTCTTAACCACTACACCACACTGCAGCTCCTCTTCTTTAGTCTTGCCACTGCTGATACTCCTGGAGAGGGCAAATGCAGGGGTATGGGCCTCAGCCAGTACCTTGCAGTGCAGACTTCTGACACCAGCCCTGGGAATTAAAAGGCATTGAAAAATAATTGAGGGGAATACAGAGAACAGCAGTACAGTCGTACTTTGGAATTCGAACAGCTTAGTTGCTGAACATTTTGGATCCCAAACGATCGAAAACCAGAAGTGATTGTTCTGGTTTTCAAATGTTCTTATGGAAGCCGAACATCTGATGCGGCTTCTGCGGCTTCTGATTGGCTGCAGGAGCTTCCTACAGCTAATCAGAAGCTGCGCCTTGGAAGTCGAACATTTTGAAAGTCGAATGGACTTCTGGAGCGGATTCCGTTCAGCTTTCAAGGTACCGTATTTTTCGCTCCATAGGACGCACTTTTTCCCCTCCAAAAATGAAGGGGAAATGTGTGTGCGTCCTATGGAGCGAATGCAGGCTTTCGCTGAAGCCTGGAGAGCGAGAGGCATCGGTGCGCACCGACCCCTCTCGCTCTCCAGGCTTCAGGAAGCTATCCGCAAGCCTTGCAAGCCCGGTGGGAGTTCCCGCGGGCTCACAAGGCTTGCAGGCAGCAGCCTGCAGCCCCGGCGAGTGTCCGCAAGCCTTGCGCGCCCGGCAGGAGGTCCCGCCGAGCGCGTGAGGCTCGGGGCAGCAGCCTGTCGCCCGAGCACGGGGAGCCCTCCGGAGGGCTCCCGTGCTCGGGCGCAGTGTCCGCAAGCCTTGCGCGCCGGGCAGGAGGTCCCGCCCGGCGCGCAAGGCTTGGGGCTGCAGCTGTCGCCCGAGCACGGGGAGCCCTCCGGAGGGCTCCCCGTGCTTCGGGCGAGTGTCCGCAAGCCTTGCGCGCCGGGCAGGAGGGAGAGGATTGGGGTGGTGGAGGGGGGGAGAGGATTGGGGTGGTGAGCTCTGCCACCAACACATGCACAAAAGATAATTTTTTTTATTCATTTCCCCCCCCAAAAAACGAGGTGCGTCCTATGGACCGGTGCGTCCTATAGAACGAAAAATACGGTACGTCTGTATCAGCAATTGCATACAACAGGGAAAGGGTTCCTGAGCTAATCACTAGAGGGCAGTGCCTACTGCTTCATTCTCAGGCACAAAACTGCTTTCAGAGATGCAAAGCAGGCCTATAATCAGGCCTACAAACACAAACAGGGAAGCTTGTTCGCTTTTTTTCTTTCTGCAATGACTGCCTATCATCTCATAAGAACCGCTCCAAGGATAGTGTGATGCAGGGATCATTTCACCATTATGAGAAAAAGAACTGCTGTGATAGCCTTCTCCCCATTAGTGGGTTGATGGAGGAAGTGTGATCTTTTACATGAGCAAGGAAAGTAAGTCTGCTTCTACACTCAGAAGAGAAAATGCATCATTAGAAGCAAGAGGGATTAGATTGTAACTGCTGCAAATCTCTGAGCGTTCCTTAACCTCTAAGTGTAGCTTTGTAATGTCTCTTGCAAACGCAGAGCACTTAATCTGACTGTTATCCAAATACCTCACTTTTTAATATTTTAAGCTCCTCCTCCTATTAATCTCTGGGGTGTGCCTTTGCCCAGGCAAATGTGGCTGGCAAATGCAAAATCTCCCCTTGCAAATGTGACCTTTTTTTAGCCCTGGTAACCCTGTAAGACAATAGCTTTGACAGCAGTGGGAATTCTCTGTACTTCTGTGAATCCTGAACATCTCTACCGCAGATATTCTGAGCTATTTAAAATGTGGGAGAGGTTTGTTTTCCTTGCTAGGAGAAGGTACTGCAACCAGGAAAGGATAATTCTACTGGCAGTAATACCATTAATAAAGGTTTAAACACTGAATAACACAGAGATCAAAGAGACAGCAAGCACATATTAGCTTCCTGAACTTTTTGTTTGGCACAGATCAAGGCAATTACAATGAAGCACGCAGACACAATGTGCACATTTGCACATTTAGTATAGGTAAATTGGACATCTAAGTGGAGCAGGGTGGGGGGGAGAGGATTGGGGTGATGAGCTCTGCCACCAACACATGCACAAAAGTGACACTACATGGGTACGATTGAGGACTGCATTTGCAGAGTTCCTGAGCTTGTGCACAATACAGTTTATATGTGCATAGAGTTATTTCCAACCTCAAACCTGTGTTTCACTTGAGATATTTGTTGAAAGCACCCAAGAAGGGGGAAGTTCCTTGTTTGTTGACTTGACTACACTTGACTTCTCTTCTTCCATACTTAGACACCAGCGCTCATCGTATATGGGGACCAGGATGCCCAGCTGGGGGAAGTGAGCCTGAACAACCTGAAGAACTTACCTAATCACAAGGTGATGCTGATGAAAGGGGCAGGCCATGCCTGTTACCTTGACAAACCAGATGAGTGGCACCATGGGCTCCTAGACTTCCTGAAGAGCATAGAGTGAAGAGCAAACTGGCCTGACCTGCTCCCAACCCACCCACAATGATCAGTGGCTTCCACAAATGTCTGGTGTTTGCTTCCTAGGTACTGGGTTCTCTTTCTGCAATTCAGTCGGCAATCGAACAGGAGCCAAGTCCTTTGGGGACTACACAATAATTATAGAACTAAAATACTTAGCAGACGGATCATGCTGCATCCAAAACATGCTCATTGCTTAATACAATCATAGAATCGCGTTCAATTAATTGCATATCCAGAGTGACCCCCCCACATTTCCCCTCCCTTGGCCATGGGATTGATTGGGTCACCCTAATATATAAATATGGATCTGTTACACAGGCACATTGGCACCTCAGTGTAAATGTGCCATTTCACGAGCTGGCGTGAAATCCACCTCTTCCTCATCACTCACCCATGATTGTGAAATTTCCCCCTCTTTTTAGTTAAATGAGCACAAAAGGCAACAAGCCAGCATGCTGAGTTAGCTGAAACAGATGTCATGAAGGTGGGGCAATGTACGTTTCCCCAACCAAACAGTCTTTTTAGAGACTGCCAGCCTTGCTCTGTGGAACTTTTAGCTATCTTTTCCCTTGACATCTTTGCTAGGGGACATCTGTCTTTATATCAGAACCTTTTGCTATGTCACTGCTGTGGTGTACACACTATCTCTTTGTCAGAATCTGTTTCTTCCTGCTTTGGGTTGGCAAGGCTATGTATTCTTGACGTGCATAGTGGCAGCCAGCTGCTTTGTGGTGAGCAATTATTAGAGGGCAGGGCTAAGGCTGACTCAGTGATTTTAGGGAGGATCATTTTGTATGACAAAACCTTTAGCATCTCCAGGGCTTCCCCTTTCTAACAGTGCAATCTGGTACCCATGTCTGCTCAGAAGTCCCATTAAGTTACCCCCAGGGAAATCTCTATAGGATTGCAGCTCATCAACAATGTGCATATGTTAAATACTATCACCTTTTCTGCCTGAGCCCAGCAAGAACATGTGGCTACCTATTTTGAAACATCCTTGTGCTCTACGGTTATCACTCTCATTGGTGATTAAATTATTAGATGGTTCTGGGTGTCCTCTTAGAAGTTTAACATATGGGATATGTCAGAGTATTGTTTGTCTAAGGTTGCAATAGTAGAAGGAAGAAATGCAATGGCACTGAACACTATTGTTGGGGAACTTGTGGCGTTCCTTATGTTGGGACTACAACTCCCATCATCCTTCTCTACTTGCCGTGCTTGCAGGGGATGATGGAAGTTGGAGTCCAACTGCCTCTGAAGAGCCACATGTTCCTCATCTCTGCTATGCACCTTGGAAGAGTTGGGGTGCTCTGGGGAAGGAAGCATCACTCACCACTGTTACTCTATACCTGAACAATTTTATCTTGCTTGGAATCAAAGGGACTATCAAGTTAGCAAAGAGTGCAGACTTCCAATAATAAAAGTTGGATAAAGAAAATGAATTAAATCAGCTGTGCAGGGTCTACCTGGTTTTCTGGTGAGTTTCTGCTGAATAATACATTTTGTCAAAACTATTTTTTTTAATCAATTAAAATATTGATTTATACATCTGCTTATTTTGTTGATGCATTCTTTTCTAATGTAGCTCAACCACACATTTGTGAATCATCTTATCTCCACAATTACATTTGACACTGTAGTTTGGAGGTTTTTGGAGAATGTGGGAATGTTGGGGAGAATGTTTGCTATTAGTTGAACTAGTCTTCCATGTTGGCTTATAGACATGGGGAACACATTGTGATTATAATCCAGAAAGCTCAGTCTGCCATTTAGAACACAAAACCTGGGTTTTGAACCTAACACGGGAAAATAGCACTGTCTTGGGAGTTGTGTCAAGATCAAGTTATGATGAATCTAGTTGTAAGGAAAAGACAAAATCTGAACTAATAATGTTTTTTTTTAAATTTCCTTTAGGGCTACTGAAAGATTACTAGTTTTAGTAAATGTGCACTTACTCAGATTTCATGATGCACGGCTATAGCATAAACAATATTGGTCTTGGGTCCTCCAATCTTAGCAGTCTTCAAAATTATGTGTAGCCTTGGGTAATAGGGATTTGAAATGATAGACATACTAATCGGCCTAGCTAAGCATGCCCATGCACAGGCATAATTAGCAATGTATGGGAAGGAGAGATTCATAGGAAATATAACTAGGCAAATCATGGGAGGTGCTGGAATGCCTTACTAGCAAAACTGGTGCAGAACACACAGGAAGCTATTATCAATCTAGACTCACATGGTTTGTTCTGGCTGGCCAACGCACAACATGCACTCTACCACTGAGATATAGTCCCTTTCATTGCCACCTTTCCTGTATCCTCAGTGCACTGTCTCTTCCTATTATCCACATGAGATGGAATTAGATGCTCTAGCTTTCTACAGCTTAAGAGAAAATGCTTGCCAGCCCCTGGAGTAACAGCACAAATGGATTCCTTTAAATGCCCAGGGGATTACCAAACTAATGGCCAAGGTGAACAGATGGGAGACAGGTTAAAGTCAGCCGCACGGCTATTCCAGAGCCACCTGGCCTTGTTCCTTTGTGCTCATTTTCCACAGATGGAGACCAGACAGATGGAGCCAGCAGTAAGAAGTAGGGAGGTGGACTCTAATCGTCACATGGCACCCTGACTGGCTGAAGGCTGTGATGGCTGTCAAAAACCAAACTTTATCCTATTAGGCAGAGGATTTGCTGGCAGGGGGCTGGCAAGTCCGGGAGTCTGATTCCCACACAGTCAGCAACTTCCATCTATAGCTAGGATCTAAAGCACTGGGATTGACTGCACCTCAAAGGAAGGGAGAGTGCTCTGCTCTGGCATGTCAGTCAAGTTGGGTTCCTCGCTACTGAAATTTTGTGGCACGAAAACACATCAAAGTAAATGGAATGTGGAGTGGAGCCATATGTGGAATACCATCGGTGTGAAATAAGTATCTCTTATGGGGCGATATCCAAATCTCAAGGATCAGCAACAGCTATATTGGCCAAGAATATAATCTGCCAAGGTGACGTGACCTTCAATGCATTTTCAGGCCAAGAGATACTAGCTGGGTGTCTTATTTCTATAAAAAAATCCATTTTCTCTAACTATCCATGCTGGCATTCAGCAAGACTAAAATGTCTGAAAAAAATCTCGTCCAGTCTGGATTGTCCACAGAACTTTGAAAATGAATATGAGCAGAACAGAAGCTCAATTAATTTTTGCTATTCTACTTCAAAACACAAGTCCTTCCTGCAAATCACAGTTCACACAGCCTTGGTAGCCATTCATCTAGGTGTGACCACCTTAGTGTTAGGCCTGCAAACAACTGCAATCCAGCTTGAACAAAGGGGCCTGAGGCCATAATTCAGTGATAGAGCATCTGTGTATGGGGAAGGCCCCAGGCTCAATCCATGGCATCTTCAGATAGGGTTGGGAATGTCCCAATCTGAGACCCTGGATAGCCACTACCAGGCAGTATGGACGGTACTGAGCTAAATGAACAAAATGGGCTGATTCATTATAAGGCAGATTCCTGTGCTGAGGCTGCAGAAGTATTGACTGGCTGAAGGCCAAATATCAGAGTAAAGGAGGAGCAGGCAAGCCTGGTGTCAGTTTGAGTGGGCTGTGGGCAAAGATCTCTCTGGGGAAAGGCTCCCCTCCCACCTTCCTGGTGGCACCCCTTTCCAACAAACAGCAACTGAAATACCCTCTTCTACTCCACTATTAAAGGAGCCAGAGCCCTGTCCTCTTTCTCATCTCCCCCCCCCATGTAGTTTTTGCTCCCCCTGCTTTCCATTTGAGATCACTGTTGCACCACAAGAGCCCAGTACTGTACAGCCTCTCTGTTTAAGCTTCAGGTGAGCTGTTAAGACCTTTTAATTTTGCTGAGCTTTTAGCATGGGTTAAAATCCCGTCTCGTTTTTATGCTGAATCTGTTTTATTATACAAAATGTATTTAGTCATGTGGATTTTTTCCTCCGGGCTTTATGTATTTTAGTAGCTTTTGGGGGCAGGTAAGCTGCTTTTGAGCTTATTTCATAAGGAAACATGGAGTATGCATAAGTAAAGAAATAAGTTTGGAGAGGCAGTTGCATACCTTTGGTAGACCTGATTTTCAAGGCAGCTAGAAATTGAGAAGGGAAAAGTCAACTTTGCAGTAGTTTTAGAAAGTGGAAAGCTCTGTGGCGGAGTAGCCTCTTACTGTTTTTCACTGACACTGGTAGCTGCATTGCTTTGAAGCTGAGGTGAGAAACATCAGGATGTCCACACATGATCGTAAAATCAATAGAACTAGAAATAAAAGCCACCCAACAAGTATCTATTGTGCAAAAAAAGAGTGCCATTTCCTTTCATTTTCTCATAGCAGCTAATACTTCCTTTCTTTAGGAACAGACCTACGCTCAGGAATTTTGAAGCCCCGTGAATGACAACCATCTAGGTGCCAATCGAGGGACTGGCAAACCACCTCCCCACATTTGCACAGCCATAGAGTTGCCCCAGAAGTAGTCACACTGACCACGCCATTAGCGGACTGCTAGAGAGAATGTTAATAAATCTGCCTCTCCTAGCCATGGCCCTAGGCCCACACTTTCTCCCTTCCCTTCTCAGCTTCCAAGAAGCTCCTGTTACTTACCCATCCATCTATGCCCTGTCCACAAGCACGGGGTGTTTCTGTGCAACGCTGACTTGGCTCCATCATCAACACAAGGCATTGCTTCCGCAATCCGCAGTCCTACCTTACAGTAGGTTCAGGGCTGGCACATTTCTGCTCCTGACAGATAGATGCTTGGCACTAAGCCTTAAATGTAGTCATGGGGTGTACTGACAACAATGGCAGGCTCACTCTCCCCACCCCACCATCTCCGAAGCAGTTGTGGTGAAGTGCACACACAACCTGTTGTGTGGTTAGTTGCACCCAACTCCTCTCTTTGGTTAGCCAGCAGCAGCAGATCACATTACTGTGCAGCTTTTCTCTCTCATCCCACACGAGTGTCACATTCCTTTGCCAAGGCTGTGCTGGCAATTGTTAGATGATAGAAATGGCATTCTTCATCCCATGCTTCAGTTTCTATTCTGTTGTGGACAAATAGGGCCAAGGAGGGGTTTTTTCCTCCCCTTTTGCATTTGTAGCAGTTCTCTTCCACCCAACTACTTCAGTTATCAAGTATTTCCATAAGATGAAAATTCAAGTGCATTGGGTGGCATCATAGAGATACAGCCTAACACAGCTTCCTTTCCTTTCTTTCTACACATATACACCCTCTTTCTGGCTCCAGTATATGGGGTGAGAAAGAATTTTTGTCCAAGTCAGACTGGGAACTGACCCTCTTGAGTATTCTCTCTCCCCCCCGCCCCGAAAGATGTGCTTCAGTGAGTAAACCTAGGTGCTCTGAAAATCCCTTTCTGTAACGTACCTTCTCTTTTCTTATAGGACAATGTAGTATAGATTGCAAAGGTTCAGTATGGGTGGCGCTGTGTTTTAAAGCACTGAGCCTCTTGGGCTTGCCAGTCATAAGGTTGGTGGTTTGAATCTGCACAGCAGGGTAAGCTCCCATTGTTCTGTCCCATCTTCTGCTAACCTAGCAGTTCAAAAGTGTACCAGTGCAAGTAGATAAATAGGTACCACTGTGGCGGGAAGGTAAATGGCGTTTCCGTGTGCTCTGGCTTCCGTCACAGTGTCCTGCTGCACCAGTAGTGGTTTAGTCATGCTGGCCACATGACCCGGAAAGCTGTCTGTGTACAAACAGTGGCTCCCTCAGCCTGAAGCGAGATGAACGCAGCATCCCATGGTCACCTTTGGCTGGACTTAACCATCCAGGGGTCCTTTATCTTTTACCTTAGTGCCTGTGTGTGTGTGTGTGTGTGTGCATGCATGCACACATTCACAGATTTATTTGCATGAGTAAATGGGAGCCACACATATTAACACCAACAACTTGCCTTGTTTAGGGCTTGGGACTGATGATTGACATGCTTGTGGTGCTTGGAAGACCATGATGGTTCATTCACACATGGATGTCATCATGATGATACTGCAGCCACCAGGTGATTAACCTGCACATGCGAATCAACTCTATATGCCTTTATTTTTCTGACACCAACAACTCTATATTAAGCTAAACTAGACACATACACTTAAACAGTAACTGCATGACTACAGGATGGCAAGCAGGATGCTGTTATGGGATGCTAAGGAGTTCACTTCATTATTTCCATTGTAAATTCTCAGTCCTCTCCTATTCTCTGTTGCAAACAGGTAGTTGAATTACAAGACCCACTGCTGGCTGGACAATGACAAATTTAGCTAAGAAAGGGTCCCTGTTACTCTAATAATCAAGTACTGGTACCTCAAATCCTCCCGAACCATGATGGGGGAAGTGCATGGAACACAGATATCAAGAGTACCCAAATAATAATGTTGTTGGCATCTGTCTGTCTCAGGAGAAGATGGAGGAATGTGCCTTTGGGGGTGAGGTCAAGCTGTTGGAAGGTTGCAGTGTCTGCTGCGGCTGTAGAGACCAATGTGGGAGATGTGTCTTGTTGCAGTTGGGGCAAATTAAGGTGTCCACTTGTGCTGCTGCAGATGCACCATGGCGTTTCTCCTCTCTGCTGACATTAATGACAAGTTATTGTGCTCAACTTGAATGAAGTTGATACAACGGATCTGGGGAAAGGAGAGGCTCATTGCAATAACCCGAATCCCTGGGGAAAATATAGTGTTTTCTTTGCAAATTATTTCAGTCTCCGCCAGCCTCAGAACTGTGCACTCAATCAGTGAGGAAATCCAACGAATGAACTACGTAAGTTTAAAAGCACTGAGAGTGACCCGTGGATAATCAGGGGCTCTTTCACTTTCCAACAATTGGCCTCCTCTTGAGTTAAAAGAATTGCGCGGCGCCCACAATTAATTCGCAGCAAGCGCCAAGTGACCTGGGAGAGAGCCCACAGAGTGGGGCAGCAGGGGCAAGATCTCTGAACCACCCAAAGTGCACGATCAAAAGAAATCAGGCAGGCTTCTGGGCAGACAACAAGCAGGCAAAGGCGGCCACCTGGATTTCGAGTAAACAAATCAAGGGAGGGCGAGCGCTAAGCAGCGTGAAACGAGGCAGTGCAAGTCCTGCAGCCCGAACGGAGGAGGCCAGCCTCCCAGCTCCACCCTGCCCTCGATGGCGGGACCCCAGGCGGCCCGGGCCCGCGGCGGGTCGCTTTCCGGGAAATGAATACAAAAGAGGGTGAGCGATCTGCGTTGCCGGGAGGGGGGGGCGTGGAATGTCCCTGTCCTTGGCAGATGGTCTTACCCAGTGTGCATTGTTCCTTTAGTGTCTCCTTTATCCGCTGTAATTGGATCCTGGAGGGAGCCGGCGAGCAAAGGAGGGGCCGAGGGCGGCTGGGCGGGATTGCAGGGGGAGGCAAAAGAGTCCCGAGGCTTTCGGCCTCCCTCGCCTGTCAAGCCTTTGATTTCATTGTTCCGGGCTGATGTCACTCCCAGTTGTCACAGACGCTTCTCCGGGTGACAATGTGGGACTAAGAGGAGGCACGGCAAGGACCCCCCTGGACAGACCCCGAAGGTAAGTAAAAAAGGGAAATCGAGGCGTGTGAACGCGCGCGCGGGTCTGGCCCAGCACCCAACTTTGGGGGAGTTGCGCGGGGACGGTCGCTGAAGGACTCCCCGCCACGGGGAGGGGGTCGGGGACTCCATAGAGCACCTTCCCACCCGCCCCAAATTTCCTACAAGCCGAGAGCAACTTTGCAGCAAGATGCGCCGCGAGGCTGGCAAATGGGGGGGGGGGGGTGAGCGCGCCGCTCCGTCAGCGGCGGGAATCCCGGGCAAGGGAGCGGGGCGAAGTTTTGCCCGCCGTCTATTTGGACCGTGCGCCTCCGCGAAAGCGACTTGCCGAAGGAGCGACGAGCAAGGGATGCTGCTGCGGAGCGCAGAGCAGGCGCGCCGAGGAGAAAGCGCTGGCAATGCCTCCTCGGAGACTGCGCGCCGCCTCGGGATGCCTCGCCAGCCCCGCGCACTCCAAGCCCCGCGTGGCCAAAAAGCCAAAGCCTCCTCTGGGCCGGGGAGAGTTCATTTCTTCCCGGAACCTCGAAGATTTGTAAACCCACCCGGCGGGCATGATCTGACACCCGAGGCCTCTCCTGAACTTCGGCGCTCGTTTTCTGCGGCTGAGAGCGATCCTGCGGTAGCCTCTCGCGGTTGAAGACAAGTTATTGAGGGGACAGCGGAGGAAGGGGGATATATTGCAACTCCCGAGGATAGAAGAAGCGGCGTGTCCTTGCTGACGATAAAGAGGAGATCGGGCACGCTTGTCCCCCCTCCACCTAAACTTCGTTCCCAGCTCCAGACCCTACGAACGTCCTCAAGCACTTACTGGGTACCCCTGCCCCCCGCGATCCTCCTCATGCCGCTTTCTTCTCAGCTCTCTTATGACCTTCAGCACCTGCCTCGTGCCATTTGTTTCTCGTGTATGCGTTCCTTTGAAAATTCAGGTGTTTGTTCGTTCCAAACCTTCTGATCTTATGCGCCTCCCCTGCACCCCCACCCCGCACCCTTCTAGTAGCGAATCTAAGCGCGCCCTCAAGCCAACGTAACGCGCCTTTCCCCAGTTTCGGCTCTCCACACTTCTGCGTCTCTCTGTCTGCTCGCCCGCCGCCCTCTGTTCCTATTGTACCCCATTCATCCCCCCACCCCCTTGCATCTCCAAACTGGCATGGCCCACTTCTGAGCTCAGCTTACTATTGTGGTAAGATCCCTGGGGACGTGTTGGGTGATGAATCTCTGCCCAGCTCATTCCATTTGTGACACAGCCTCCATTTCCAGCACCTGCCCGCCCCCCAGACCGCCCCTGAGTTTGGCAGCAGATTGCATTTGTTCTTCACAATGCACATCCTTTTGTTCCCAACCTCTACCGAATGCCAGTCCCCTCCCAGTCATTTCTGGCCACTTTATACAGACCAGAACCTCACGTAGGTACAGTACAATATTCAAAAATAATGACAAAAGATGGCCCTGGGGCAGTCAAGGGCGAGAGATGTTGTCTCAGCCGGCCAAAAATTACTCATTCCATCTCTGGCTATGCAGAACGCCTTTTCTTACTTGGTGGAATGGTCTGCACATGACTGCTGTGGCAGTACTGAGCTCTATTGGGGCAAGTTTTGCGGTGCAATACTGGTCCTAAGTATTCCCCCAAAGGCGTATCCTTAATTTAAAAGCAGAATTGCCCAGCAGGTCCTAAGGATATTCAGTCTGCGTACAGGGCTTACTTCCAAGTAAACATGTTAAGAATCATTGTGTAAGTTATCCTAACCTAGATACGTTTTAAGGTGCAAGAGAAGCTAATAGAGCTGTGGGGCCAAAATGGCCTGTTGTTTTTGCCTTTGTCCAGCTGAAGGACTCTAAAAAGCAGGGCCAGAAGGAGGTGATGGAGGTAAAATACTATTCCTGGCTGTTCAGAAGGAACAGATTTTTCATAACCTTGTCACTTTATGCTGGAATGGACCTTCTCCAGGCATCAGAAAAAGCATATAATGATGCCTCCATCAGCTCCACCACCATGTTGCAAAGTTAAACCTTCCTAACAGGAATGATTTCCCCCAAAGGCGTATCCTTAATTTAAAAGCAGAATTGCCCAGCAGATCTTCTACAGCAGTTGATGAACTGCTGAAATGTTAGTTTTAATTAGGATCCCTGCCTTTTGGGAATAGAGCAGCCTCCTTCATTCTGCCTCCTAATTCAGGAGAAAACTTTCCAGGCAGCCCTCTTCGTCACGTGACCAACAGCCTCTTCCATATGGGCTTCTCTTAGGGAAGGCCGCAGGGCATTCTCTACAGTAACAGCCCTGTTCCAAGGAAGTCATCCTCCTGCTATGGTGCTTTTACAACTCCTTCTGAATTATCCAAATTCCCCGTTTGTCCTCAAACATTTGCCCCTTTGTCCTTTTAAGTCCACACATCCTCCAACTCTGCCCTGCTCATTCAGTTTGGGAGCTACGCATCAATATTCAGAGCAGCTATGAGGTCATCTTTCTAAGGGCTTCCACTCTCCTCCTCTTCACCATTCAGGGAACACACCAGGAATTGTTCTTATGCTCCAGTAAGAGATCCCTCTCATGCGAAAGCCGGGGGTGAGTTGAGGGAGGATTAATGAGAAAGCTACCCACGCAAGCAAGCTTCCACTGGAGGCTTATTAAAACTATGTTATTCTTTGTGCACTCTGGATGCGATTGTAAGAGATGGAAGGAGAGATCTTAGAGTGGCTTTGTACAAAGCTAAGATACAATCCGTAACATAGACACCTCAAGGGGGGGGCGGGGGGAACCATACATGCATTATTGAGGAGATGACATAAGGCACCAAGTGCTTTGAGATTTATTGTCTTTTTATCCCATGGTGGGAATAAAACTAAATCCAAAGATCTATAGCCGCCACTACCATGTGATAAAAGAAAAATTAAAAAGTTGAGCTGCTGATATCTATTTTCAGAGTGGTAAGCTACTGCAGCCCTAAAGAGTTCTATTTTTAATTCCCTCCAATGGGTGACTGGATTCATGTTTGAGTCCCCCTTTAGGGCTGAAAGCTTTTGTAAGACTGCAATCCTATAACCTCACTCACTGAAAGCAGAGGGACTTCTTTCTGAGCGCACATGCACAGGATTTTGCTGCAAAATGTCTTTTAAAATAGCAAAGGATTGGCTGGGGGTAACATGCTGCTAAATGTTAATCATGGTTCTGCCGCCATGATAATAGACCACCCAACGGTTTCACCTCTGTGTTTCAGTTTCTCCTTCTCTACAATGGAGAAGAAAGTCCTTACAGTTAGCTGAATGTGTGGTGGCACTTTGAAGATAGATATACGCATTAGTGGTTGTTACAGGCATCCATCTGTCTCGAGAGATAATGGATTGTTCTTCCGGGGGCAAAGCCAAACCACTGCGTTAGCAGCACCAAAGTGACCTACCCATGGCACAGCCTGGGAAGTATGTGTGAAGGTCCTGGGCTGTCCAGACAACAAGGCCACCTCCACCCCCCACTCGGCCTCACTGATGTGGTCCAAAGGAAAGGAAAGCAATACGTTTAGCACCCGCTTGGTTGCAGGAGTTGCCGGAAGGAGGCGTACAAGGTTCCATCCAACTGTCTTAGGGATATGTGTACGGTTTACTCCTTAGCCTTTACTTCTCCTGAAGATATCCCGCAAGGCAGCAGAGTTTTCCTTCTCCTAGATGGGCCACCTTCCCAGGTGGACAAGCCCCACCTGCCCCTCACTTCCCCCTACCGCATATGCAGATACCACCTTCTTGACTGTTGGACCCACTATTAGTCTTGTCCACTTCATCTTCTGGAGCCTGTATTCACATTCAGAGAAAGCCCCTAAGTCACTGAGGGTTTGAGACCTGTCAGATACCCTTAGCTGGTTTAGCCAGTCAGTCAGAGCCATTCCCAGGGTGTGGCCACTTTCGCATGCTGACAGCTTCCAGGAGTCACAGGTGAGAGCTGAGTGCAGGGTGTGGGGACCAAAGGTGGACAAACTGCCCCAGAAGGAGCACAACGTGTCCCCCACTGTAATACCCCTCCCCTAACACCCCATGCACCCCTAGTCAAAGGTGGATGATGTAGTGAAACTGGGAGTTGTTTTCTCAGGATTGCAGAATGAAATAACAAATGAAGTTGCAGTATACCAAGATCAGGTCTAGCCGTGCTGTAGACTCCTCTTTACCACAAAACCACATGAATGAACCACTTGCTTCAGATATCAGATTACAAAGGGGGCTTCGTTTTCTTCCTCCAGAATCCATTTAGAAGGGAGCACCAGGACAAGAGAGAGCTGGTATCCTTTCGACTTTCAGCATTAGTTACAAAAGCCAACATTTATAACTCTTACAAAACGCTCAGTGTGAGCTTTTGAGAAGACAGCTGTTTTATTCAGAGGTTTCTCTTACTTGAAGGATTATGGATAGAAAGTGTTGGGCTCAGCATTTTCAGCCCAAGGCCTTAATAGGGCTTAGAGGTAGAATTGGCTCAGAAGCTGTATTTTTAAATGATCTTTTGCTGCCTTATTATGTTTCAGGAAGGGCAAAAAAACCCCCAAAACTTGAAGTTGATAATTTTATAGGGTAATACACTGGGGGTCTTGCTCTAGACATGATAGAGTAACCCTGTATAGATCACTGTAATGTGCATTACATAGGGCCACCCTGGAAGATGACCCAGGAGCTGCACCCTGTCCAGAATGCTGCTTCCTGATTGCTGTTTGGAGCAGTGAGAGACGTTCATATCACTCTGATCCTCAAAGCACTGCGCTTGTTGTCTATGAGCTACCTGTCTATGAGCTACCTGATTGGTATATCCTGCAACTACATTCTCCAAGGCAAACCCCTGCATGTACAGTGTGGATATCTTGAAAGAAGAGTCCCACTGGACCAAGGTTGTAAAATTTGTACGTGCGTTCAGCATGAAGCAAGCGATGGAAATAGGCATGCCTGTGTTGTTTGGGATTCTGGAAACAAAATGCCCAGCTTGTGCCTTAGATGAGGATGAAGCAGAGTAGAGGTGTGAGATGGAGATGCAAATATCAATGCGCATGTGTGACAAAAACTACCCACCCCCAAAATGCGCTATTAAGTTTCTACATCAGCAGTGGCAATGGGTATAGAATAGGCTCTTTTTACTTACTGAAAATACAAATCAAATGTTTAAAAACTACAGGGTGGCATTTTGATGATGATGATGATGTTGTGCGGATGATGTGAAAAACATCTGCATGAGCAGCACCCTAATCTGAAAGCAACTTGAGGCTGAGAAATAAAAGGGATACTGCCTCTGCCTCTCCCCTCCTTGAACCTCACTCACTTTTCTCTCACAGGACAGAGGTACATTCAGGGCAGGACTTTGGAGTAGAAGCTGCCTTGTACCAAGCCAGGCCATTGCTCCATTTAGCTCAGTATTGTCCACACAGACTGGCAGGCTTTTAGACTGAGTTGTCTCCCAACCCTATCTAGCAGGTATTGGGTAGAGACTTGTATGGTTTTCGTATAGCTCCATGAAGGAAGAGGGCTCGATATATTGGATTTCGGGGCTAGGATTAATGTGGCATGTGTGCATCCATCTCCTGTAGGCCTCAATGTGTCTAGTCCTGCAGTGTTTGGCCTCAAAAGAAGGGTCCATATGGTGGTGGTGATCTGAAAGGGTATTGCTCCCTTCAACATATAGGAATCTGCACCCTATCCCTTTGTGATTCAGTGCTTATGGATTCTTCCTGTGAATGTAACACAAATGGTACTATGTCATGGCATACTGCTACTATCTGAACAGTAATTACCCTAATATTTGGATCTAGAAGGTTTTAACAATGTATTTGGATGGCATGCATATCTGTGGTATGATAAGGTCAAAGCACATAAAGCATTTAAAAATCATATTGTCAGGAAAGCTCTGTTCAATGTTTGGATAAGATATAAGGACTTATTGGAAAATAAAACCCCAAGATGGCTGTCACCGATGGAAGCGAAAGCCTTGAAAAAGCTCAATATGGAGGTCAAATGGCCGAAATATTGGGAAATTTTAGAACAATATGGAGATAGATTGAAACTGCAGAGTTTTTAAAAACTAAAAACAAAGTGCGAGACTGGCTTCATTATTATCAGATAATGGAGGCATACAATTTGGACAAAAAAATTGGCTTCCAGGTGGAAAAATCAAAATTAGAAACAGAACTGTTAGAACCCAAAACTAAGAATTTGTCAAGAATGTATAACTTGCTGCTGAAATGGAATACTCAGGATGAAACGGTGAAATCTGCTATGATTAAATGGGCACAAGATGTTGGACATAATATTATGTTTGCTGACTGGGAACAGTTATGTACCACAGGTATGAAGTTTACGGCATGTAATGCCCTAAGAGAGAATATTATGAAAATGATATACAGGTGGTACATAACCCCAGTCAAGCTTGCAAAAATCTACCATTTGCCCGATAATAAATGTTGGAAATGTAAAGAAACTGAAGGTACACTCTTTCATCTTTGGTGGACGTGCCCAAGGATTAAGGTTTTCTGGGAGATGATTTATAATGAATTAAAAAAGGTATTTAAATATACCTTCTTGAAGAAACTAGAGGCCTTTCTCCTGGGCATAGTCGACCAATCGGTGTTAAAGAAGGATAGAACTTTCTTTATGTATGCTACAACAGCAGCAAGAATACTTATTGCAAAGCATTGCAAGACACAAGATCTACCCACACTGGAGGAATGGCAGATGAAAATGATGGACTATATGGAACTGGCGGAAATGACTGGCAGAATCCGAGACCAGGGAGAAGAGTCGGTGGAAGAAGATTGGAAGAAATTTAAAGACTACTTACAGAAATATTGTAAAATTAATGAATGTTAGAATGATGACGGATTGAAGTTAAGCGGTTTCTAGCAGTAATGGTTAAAAGAATGGAAAAATTGGCTTTTAATAGGTAAAAATTTAATGTTATAATATATTAAGATTAAAGATTAGGATTAAAAAGGAGGGAAAGAAATTGCTGGACTAACAAACTGAATTGGAATACAAAAGAGGGAGGTATGAGGAGGTCCGGGAAACAAGTAAACGTAAAAGAAGTGATGAAAAGACGGAATTGTTTTTATCTGTTTTTTCTTTTTGTATTTTGTATTGTGTATTTTTCTTTTTATTGTTAAATTCTTCTTTTTTATTAATGTGATTCTTTTCTTGTGAAACTTTAATAAATATCATTTAAATATATATATATATATATTTGGTGATACTGCATCAATTTCTTGGATCCTAGTCCATCGCTCCTTTGGGGATATTCTAGTCACTCTAGCTTTATATCAGCTCATAGGAATATCTAAGGACTGCTCCATACTTAATGGAGTAAATGTGTGTGTGCATTGCATTGCAATTTCTTTATGGTATATATATGATGGATGATCACATTGTTCTTCCATGACTGCTTTTTTTTTTTTTTTTTTTTTGTAAGCATTCGTCCTGATTTGTTTGCACAGTCTGTGGGGAGATTGTACCATGTCAGCTATTTACTGAGCATTCATTCTGATTTATTTGCCAGGGACATAATATAATGTTGCATGAAGCAATTGTTATCCCATATTTCCCGGTGCATTTCCCCCCATCACGTTCCCTATCACAAAAGACCAATTTTTTGGGTGGGGTGCAAGGAACACGTGTGTTGCGCAAGAGCACCAAATCAGTTCTAATTGTGCAACCTGAATTTGCGCGACGGAATCCCATCCGAAAATAGCAACAGTCTGGAAGTGACCCCTGTGCCTGCAAACACTCAACCAGTAATGTGTGAAGCAGAAAAACATTGAGTAGAAGAGTTTAGTGTCTTTATGATGGTAAACAAGAGCTGTTCCTTGTGGCTTCTGGCCCAAGGCTTCAGCATGCTCAATGGGGGCTTTGGGGGAAGGGTACACAGTATGTCCTGCTTGTTTCTTCAGCTGGATAAAATATAGCCCTCTCCTCATGCTTCCTAGCCTCTGCCGAGTAATCTGGGTGCTTTGATGGAGAGCTGCGCTGAGCCCTGGGAGCCGAAGTGCTGTCAATGGATCAGGCACTAATAAGAGGCGTGGGCTGCTGATCCCTTCCATTGGCAGATATTGTCACTCATGCCATCTGCTCCCTTTTCAAGCTGCCAGTTGCTCATACGATCCGTATCATCTTTGCTCTCCTCGTCCTCTGAGAACCCAGCAACAGCCAGAGCTGGGATTTCCCATCTAGCTTGCTGCGCTTACCATCCTTTGCCCTAATTTTCAAGGGGTGGGAGAAGTCGTTCGAAAGGGCAACTAAGCATCAAAACGAAAGCCAAATCAGGCCACTTTTTCATTTGTGCAGCACAATCCTAAGCATGCTTACCCAGAAGTAGATCTCAGTGGGCTCAATCGGATTTACTCCTTAATCAGTAAGTATGTTTAGGATTGTTGCCTTAGGCTTGGGATTTTGGATGGAGTCAGATAGCTCACAGGTGATTTCAGTTCAGGATTTTTTATTTGTGATATTTACAGAGGCATGGACTGTGAACTTCATAGGGTGGAGGTCTTGGGGTTGCCATGTATCCCTTAAAAAAGAGAGAGAGACTGTTTATTTATTACCATTCCCCCAAAATTCAATAGCAGTGCTTTCATAGTTTTCTCTAATGTCCTTTTTGAAATTTTATCCAACCTGCATCCCTCGAGAGATAAGGCAGGACTCCTCAGGTTCCTTCTCCTCCTGTGAAACACCCATCCTTTTCACCTCAAAAATTCAGTCCTACTGCTTTATAGCAGAAATCTGAAAGGGGCTGTAAAATGCCTACAGTAATCTACAGAGCGGACTTTGCTGTAACAGGATTCACTGGCAGGGCAAAAATAACTACTAGGATTGTATGAGCAATAGATCTAGATTCCAAATGGACTCCCACTGCTGTTACACCATTGACTTCACTGTAGAAACTTCCAAACTAAGCCAGTTCTGAACGAGTCCCTGTGGTCACTAACAAAGGATCAGGGTATAAGTGGGATTAAATGCTTAAGGAGGTTGTGTTTCAATCACATGCAGGGGGTTATATTGATCACCTGCTCTGGAAAAATTAAGGGAGGAATTTTCTCCTCAAAACATGTTGATGTGGTAGATCAGGTGAGAGGCCATGGCTGTGGCGGCATGCCAGTGTGTGGCATAGGTAGTAGCTGATTTGTTGTTCCCAGGGAATAAGAAATATATATTTCATTCCTGATTTATTTGTACAGTCCTCGTTCCACAGTAATTACTATAAATGCTTGCTTCAGGTCAAGGACTGAAACCTCTCTACCAGGAGAATGTTAATGCTGGCAGAATTTATTTATTTTTAGTAATATTTGGTTAGGACAAAAGGGGGAGACAATGTTATTTGGCAGCAGTTGTTTATGGCACCATTTTGGCAACGGGTGTGCCCCACTGCCCATTGGCTTGTAGGTAAAAAAAAAAAGTATTGAAAACAGTCTATTAATGAATGCATTAGAAAACCAATCTCAGTGGAAGAATTAGCAAAATGGAACTAATTTGTGAACTTAGGGGCGGGGAAATAAGGGTAGAAAAATAAGCTTTGAAATCTAGGTTGGTTGTTCAAGGAGCGCTTAGATTTGAAAGGGGCATGTGCATGAAATGCAGGGAGAGGCAAACCACCAAGGATGAATGTCCAAATCTTGTAGGGAGAGGTGTGTCAGAAGGGCTAAAGCTCAGAATGAGTGTAGGCTTGAAAGATGTTGAAAATAACAAAGGGGATGATTATTATTTTTATGTTAGGAGCAAGAGGAAGAGAGGGAAATGGTAGATCTACTGCATGGAGAAGATGGAGATATGTTAGTGGGTAACAAAGGAGAATAAACTGATTAACTCTTACTTTGCCCCAGCCCTCTCTTCTCCCACAAGCGATACTCTGCTCAGCCTTGCAAAGATAGACCAAATGAGAGAGAGAGGGAAGTTGCAGCCCAAGATAAGTAAAGAGGCAATATAGCCCTCTAAAAGGTAAAGGTAAAGGTACCCCTGCCCGTTCGGGCCAGTCTTGCCAGACTCTAGGGTTGTGCGCTCATCTCACTCTATAGGCCGGGAGCCAGCGCTGTCCGCAGACACTTCCAGGTCATGTGGCCAGCGTGACAAGCTGCATCTGGCGAGCCAGCGCAGCACACAGAACGCCGTTTACCTTCCCGCTGGTAAGCGGTCCCTATTTATCTACTTGCACCCGGAGGTGCTTTCGAACTGCTAGGTTGGCAGGCGCTGGGACCGAACGACGGGAGCGCACCCTGCCGCGGAGATTCGAACTGCCGACCATGCGATCGGCAAGTCCTAGGCGCTGAGGTTTTACCCACAGCGCCACCCGCATCCCAATATAGCCCTCTAAACGAATTCAAATCTTCAGCACCAGATTAATTGCTTCCTAATGTTTATTTGTTTTCATTTTAGTTAAAATCAGTTAGACATGGCCTTCCACTAGAATGATCACACAAGACAGGTTATTTTTTTAAAAAACAAAACATTAGAGCAACAGGTGGGGTACCCCAGGGTTCTGTCACGGGTCCAGTGTTGTTAAACATCTTTACAAATAACATGGACAAAGGATTAGAGGGAATACACATCCATTTTGTAGATGACATGAAGCTAGGAGCGGTAGCTAATCCCTTAGAAATAAAAACAGGATTCAGGTTGACTGGGTCAAAACAAGATGAATTTCAACAGAGATAAATGTAACATTCTGCATTCCAGTTGGAAAAACCAAATGCACATAGAATGGGTGGCACGTGACTTGTTTGTTGAATTTATATCACACCCTTCCTTGCTAAGGAGGCCAGGGCAGCAAATAGATACACAATTTAAAAACAAAAACAAAGCAAAAACTTTCTGAAACAGATTAAAACACTCTAAAAACAATTAGAATTAAAACATCTAGAAGCAGTTGCAGTTGAAAACATTTTAAAAGCAATTACAGTTTAAAAGCATACTTCCATCCAACGATCTTGATGTAGCCAGAACTAGACAGAAGCACGTGTAAAAAAAGATGATTGTAGGGGTTTTAGTTGGCCACAAGTCAAAACAGGAGTTGGCAGTGCAATGTAGCCACTAAAAAGCTAATGCAATTCTATCAACAGAAATGTAGTGTTTGGCTCCACAAGAAGTAATGGCGCCATTACTTTTTGCTTTGGTCAGCTTTGATGTGAGATAGTGTTCTGGGCTGCACAGCATATTGACAAAATGGAATGTGTTCAGAGACAATGGCAACAAAGATGGTGAGGATCTGGAGACCAAGTCCTCTGGGGAAAGGCTGAAGGCACTGGGTATGTTTAGCCTGAAGATGAAAACATTTAAGAGAAAATATCATAGCTGTCTTCAAATACTTGAAAGGCTGTTGCACGGACGATGGAGCAAATTTGTTTTCTGTTACTCCAGATGGTAGGATGTGAACTAACAGGTACAAATGATCAGAAAAGAGGTTTTGCCTTAAAAAGAGGAATTACTTCCTGATGCTAAGAGCTGTTTGACAATGGCAGAAATTATATTGGAAGGTGGTGAACTTTCTTTCATTAGAGGTTTCTAAGCTGATTGGGTGGCCACATATCAAGGATGCTCCAGCAGTAGATTTCTGCATTGTCAGGGAATAGGCTAGATGATATCTGAGGCACCACCCAATTTTATTATTCTTGGAGAACCATAGCATATATGCACCATTTCTTATTTTAATCCAGGAGCTTTCCAATCTCACTATTCATTCTGCTCTGAAATGTAATTTTCAGGTAACAAAAGTGCCATGCAGTATACAGCTTGCTATTTGTCATGAGATGTAAGAATAACCCAGGGCAAAATGAGTTAAATCTTAAACCATAAAAAGGTTTATCTTAGGGAAAACAGCAGAACATAATTTCAGATATAGAAAGCTACCTTTGCAAAATTCCTGAATAAAGCCCAACACTACGCATGTGCATTCAGAAGTAAGTCCCATTAAATTCAATGGTACTTATGCCCAGTTTGCAACTTTAGCTGAAGACAGTACATGTTAGAAATCAAGGCCAAAATGCTGAAAGTTATGAGAAATCTTAACATGCTTCCAGTATGTTTACAGATACATTTGCTCTTTTCAATCAGAGCACGAAACAAGAATGACTTCTATCCATATCTCTGCTTCCTACCATATTACTGCCCTTCAGCAACCATAGATTTGAATATATCTATCTCATTCAGTCTCAATGAGTCTGAAGCTTGGTCTGAAGCTCAACATCAAAAAAACTAAGATCATGGCCACTGGGCCCATCACCTCCTGGCAAATAGAAGGGGAAGGAATGGAGGCAGTGAGAGATTTTACTTTCTTGGGCTCCATGATCACTGCAGATGGTGACAGCAGTCATGAAATTAAAAGACACCTGCTTCTTGGGAGAAAAGCAATGACAAACCTAGACAGCATCTTAAAAAGCAGAGACATCACCTTGCCGACAAAGGTCCGTATAGTTAAAGCTATGGTTTTCCCAGTAGTGATGTATGGAACTGAGAGCTGGACCACAAAGAAGGCTGATCGCCAAAGAATTGATGTTTTTGAATTATGGCGCTGGAGGGGACTCTTGAGAGTCCCATGGACTGCAAGAAGATCAAACCTATCCTTTCTTAAGGAAGTCAGCCCTGAGTGCTCACTGGAAGGACAGATCCTGAAGCTGAGGCTCCAATACTTTGGCCACCTCATGAAAAGAGAAGACTTCCTGGAAAAGACCCTAATGTTGGGAAAGATTGAGGGCACAAGGAGAAGGGGGTGACAGAGGACCAGATGATTGGACAGTGTTCTCGAAGCTACTAAAATGTGTTTAACCAAATTACGGGAGGCAGTGGAAGACAGGAGTGCCTGGTGTGCTCTGGTCCATGGGGTCACGAAGAGTTGGACACGACTAAATGACTAAACAACAACAAATCTCATCTAGAATTCTGGTTCAGGTTCAGGAAGTGTCATCAAAAATTAGATGTTTGTGAGCCAATAATAAATATTTTGATGATCATAATTGAAATTATAATCAAAATGCTTTGGATTAGCTCAAAACCGACAAATTTTTAATGATAGTATCTATACGAAAAACAAATCTCTCTTCCTGTATATAAAACAACAGCAGTGATGCAATGATGACATCATTTCACATAAATATCTGTTCCTAGCTTGGAGACAGGAAGTAGGTTTGGGAATGGAGGAAGACACAGGTTTCTCATAATATTCACTTGACCTGAAAATACCTGAAAAGTATAATGATTAAAAGGGTGGGTTTGAATTATTCCTCAACACATCAGAGTGTCATATTTGTCTCACTTGACCTTTAGCACTAGGAGGCCTGACTTTTTAAAAAGTTATCAATTGACCAAATGTCCTGAATAAACAGGACAACGTATTTTTTTCCTTCCATTTATTTTTATTTTTTTAATGAATGCTTATTTCAGTACTAATGAGGCAACGATGTATATGCTATGCGTGTAAACTGGAGTTTGTGGCAAAATGTAATGGCTTTTGCTATTGCATGAGCGCCTATGGTTTTGTTTCTTTATTTTTCTGTATGATTTCCAAGGAATAGCTGAGGTTCAGAATAAAAGTCCTTTCATAAATATCGGTTTGCAGTATTTGGGACTTACCCACTTTTTGCTGTGTATTAAAGCGACAAAGCCAAGCCAAGCCCTGTGTGTCTAGGACCAATCTTAGGCTGTGTATGTAGTCCTGTTTACTCTGCATCCAGTGCGCCCCCACAGCTGGTTTGCAAAGAGGTATGCACACAGTGTTAGCCACAAAATCCATGTGCATCCTAGCATTTTTTAAATTGAATACAGTGTTTTGATATGTTTTCCCCTGGTAATGTATTTGTTGTGCACACAGCCTAATACCCACAACCAATAATTACTACATACCGGTAATTGAAGTCTGTGGTTCTCTCTCTCTCTCTCTCTCTCTCTCTCTCTCTCTCTCACACACACACACACACACACACACACGGTCTCCTGTTCTCTGCCTCAGAGGGGTCTTTTTCTGGAGCCTTTGTCTGAGAGGAAAGAGGAGCCCTCCAAGCCCAGCAAATGAAAGCAGAGGCCTGATGGCTTCTCTTCTGTTGTCTCGCCTGCCATAACTTGTTGTTGTCCCAAACAAAGCCCCAGGTTTTCCTGGCACTCAGTCTCTCAGGCAAGAATAAAGGCGCTGGAGTCTAAATAAGCCCCCTGAGGACTCTTTGATAGGGACAGTTGCCGCCTGGGACAGCTGAGAAAGATCAGAAAGGGGGGTGGGTGTCCAGTGTCTGCATTTACACAGCTGTTGCCTTCTCGCCTCATCACTGGGTTAACTAGCATTTTCAGCCTGTTTTCCTTATGGATTTTCAGAAGGGACCTAAGACCATTTTGGCTCGGGTTATTGAAGAAACAAAAGGGGAGGGGGGCAGCCCATGCCCTCCGCTGCTGCTGCTTCTGTGTCTCCTCGTTTCCCTCAGAAGAGGATGATTAGGGACTCTGGTTGGGGGAGGGGAAGCACATGGGCTGGCACATCACTGTGTGGGTTTGCATTCCACAAATGCCTCCGATGATGCGCCTGACGCAGAGAGCCACACACATTATTAGCAGGAAGGTTGGATTTGAGGCAGCATGGTGGAGGTTGCGCAGAGGGCAACGCTAGACCAAACATAGATCCAACAGGCAAATCAACACAGGCAGAGCAAGGAGAGGAGTCTTTTGGAAAGGTCTTGTTTCCAAGATGAGGAAAGAAGCAGAAAGATCAGGTTGATTAATCTTAAGCAAAGTGAATTATTATTATTTTTGTGGACTGCCAAGGATGGGGCAGAGCTGCTCTTAGGAATCACAGAACTGCAGTCAGAGAAAAGCAAGGAGCCTGAGGGGAATTAAGGCACAGAAGCAAACGAAGTTCATCAGCACCGCTTACCTATGTTCTCCTTTTTCTGCTCAACTAAGACTAACCCTTTTTGTATATGGAGATGGGGTGGACACACAAAAAGAAGCTTGGCCTCGTTTGGCCCTTAACTACAAGGTTTTTAAAGTATGTTGGTTCCATCAAATTCTGGTATCCCCAGAACTTAGATTTCCTTGCTGAAGAGTTTTGGAAACTTTCAGTTGAGGTTTTGTGGTGGTACGTATCTCACATGGGAGCATTGCTGTTTCTGATGCATGTGGCAGCAGGCACCCTCACATGCCTCCTCTTGAATATACATTGCATCATCAGATGGTTTGACAACAATCAAACACAAAGAGCATGTATCTGTTCTCTTCAAAATTCATTTGAAAGCACGTTCTGTGAGACGTGGATAGATGTTCCCCGTCCTTCCTAGTGCTTATAAAGACTAGAATGATTCTTTGATCTGGATGGTACTCCAGGAACATGAGAGCCCTGATGTCTTCGCTGAAACAGTCAATCAATACTGGCTGCTCCCTGGGTATTGAGCATTAACTTGTTATTGTTGCCAGTGTGATGGAGGTGAGAGTGTCTTGCCTGCTGAACTTCCTAGCTTGCAATAATGGCTCCAGAGGACGTTTCTGTCCAACAGTTTTAATACTGAGTAAGTGAGCTTGGAATGCTTTCCCCTTTCCTACGTTTGAAGGATAGACAAGGCTCCATTGCTGGGGCTGCAGTTTGTCCTCCTATCTCTGAATCCACTTGACAGCCTGAATGAGGCTGCTCCATAAAGAAAGGGAGCGAAGGCCTTTGACAGCTGCTGTGCTCACTTCTGCTCCACCAGAAGCAAAAGGGTAAAAGGTGACGTCTGTACAAAGGTTTGCTGTGCGACCACTGAGCAAAGTGACAGATTCATGGCACAAAAAGCAGACATGGGAAACCTGTCATCAGTACACTTTGGACACATCCAAACTGGCAGTTTTTCACACATCTGCTGAAAATTGTATGAGCTTGTACAGTCTGCATCCCGTTCCTTTTTCCTGCATTCTGCTTCTTGAGTCCCCCCCCCCCCCAGCACCCGCCATCGCTGCCACAGAAATGCTTATTAAAGGGACATAATTTTCAGTGTGTTTTTTTATTGAGTGTGGAGCAACTCTGCTCCTCATCTTTTTTCCTCATCAAAGCGTTTTTTAAAAATATCTTAAATGACTGCGAATGTACATTATTGTACTCATGCACCTACTGAATTATGTGTGTTAAGCTCTTTTAGCCAAAACCAAATATACTTAGAAGCAACTTCGTGATCCTTTCTCAATCTTCCTTGTTGCAAAAACTTAATTTTCCAGCAAGCTGCAATAACTTATTATTGTATGCACACATATATATACTTCAGAAATTTCTTATTAAGTAAAAATAAAACAAAAACGATATCCAAACCCACTCTGGCATTTTAAGTGCACCTCTTAAGGGCTGGCTTTTTCCTCACCACATGCTCTGGCCATCATTTGCGGCTCTGATGCAGATTCCTTATCTTCATGAGGCGTGGCTGATTGCAATCTGGGCTACGGCCTTCTGTGTGGTGGTGCCCATTCTGCCAAATAGTTTGGCAGGCAAAGTGCACCAGGCCCCTTCACTGCTTGGTTTCAGGCAAGGGGTAAGGATGTTGCTGTTTAAAAAAGTCCTTCAGCTGATTATTTTTCTGCCTGATGCTTGGCTGTGTGCAAATTAGTACCATGACTTTTGTGATGTTAATGGCTGGGTTCAGAAAAAGTGATTGTTTTATATTTGAAATATTGTTTTTGGTATTTGGATTTGTTAGCTGCCTTGAATTCCTTCGAAAGTAGGTGGAATGCAAGTTTTTAAAATAAAAATGAAACAAAAAAGTTATTGTCTAGCTTCCTCAAATATGTAAAGACCCAAACCAAAATAGAATGAATGGGATGTAGTTACAGTGTGTTGTAGAGCCTGTCCAGACTTTTTTTTGGGGGGGGGTACATTTGTGATAATTTGTGTTCATGATGCTTTTGGTGCAGTGACACATGACCCTGCTTTCAATACCGTGGAAAAAGCTTTGAGGTTGTAATATCGCTTCATTTCCAGTCAATGCATATCCTGCAATCTTCTGCTGATATCCTGAAACTTTTATTTAATGCCTGGTTTATTTTTAAATGCTCTGGTTTATTTTCGTCCTGCATTTGTTGCGCTATAGCCTCTCAGGCCAGCAATAATGTGGTAACATTGGGGAAGCATTGCAGAACAAACGACAGTCATACCTCATGTTACATTTGCTTCAGGTTGAGCGTTTTCAGGTTGCGTCCTGCGGCGACCCAGAAGTACCGGAAAGGGTTACTTCCGGGTTTCGCCACTCGCGCATGCACAGACGTGCAAAATGACGTAATGCGCAGAAGCAGCAAATCGCAACCCGCTGATGCAGGTTGCGTTCCTTTCAGGTTGCGAATGGGCCTCTGGAACGGATCCCGTTCGCAACAGAGGTACCACTGTAAAGCAGAATAAATCCACCCACTAATGCACTGTTATTGTCTCAATAACATGTTGCAGAAGACACCCGCAATAAAACACTAATCTGCAGGGGCCCATAGCACAGTGGAGAGAATGTTGGACTAGGACCAAGGAGAGAGACCTGGGGAAAATACTAGGACTGGTTGGTTGGTTGTGGCAGATTGAGTGTTGTTGTGCCCTAAAGGAAAAAGTGAAAGGAACTGTGACAAGAGTGATGGTCTGGCTGTACCTTTAATAGCAGCTGAGGTATAGAATCAGAAGCTTTGATGAATATTTCAGACTTTGCCTGATACTTGCCTGGTACAGTAGTATCTGAATTCCAAATTGTGCTTTCATCCAGCATGTGCCATGTCTCTAAATGCCTGCGCTGGATCATTTGAGGGCCCTCCTTTACATGCCTCACCTTGGCAGTGAGGATGTGTGTGCAGATTTTGGTTTATATTTATTGCCTAGCCCAGAATGATTAGTTAGGATTACAGTAAATTGCTGGCAGTAGATTGTTCTGATAAAAAGAGCTGTGCATCTACAGAAGGCCTCGCATTCTGTAATGAACGTGTTGACCTTAATTTTACAGTATTATCTTTCTTGAATAAAGTATTATCTTCCTTTTGAGAGGCTTCGTGAACGAGCCAGCTGAACATGTAAAATGCGTTAACTGTGTCGTAATTCCCCTTCTGTGTCAGTTGCGATTTCTAACCCTCTCAAGTGAACTGAAGTTACCTTGCAAGCCGAAGTGGGCCTGAGTCCATGAAAGCTTATGACATAATACAGTTGCCTTCAAGGTGCTGTAAGACTAATTGCATTTTTTGCTGCAACAGGCTAACATGGCTTCTACTCTATGTTGCAAGACAAAACACAGGAGGAGGAACACCTCCGGTCCACTTGGTTTGCAGAAAGTTGATAATCTTGCTCCTATTTTATAGCTGTAGTTCTTGGATTCACAAAAAAACCTATAATGGAGTAACTAGTCTAAACATTGAGAGGGAACTCTGCAGAAAACCCAGGAATTAAAACCAGATGATCCAAAGAATCTCTGAGGCAACTGCATTAATTCAAAGATTCTCCCTTTACAAAGAAATAGATATCAAAATAGGGTTGGGGGTGTTGCTAGATCCTTAAAATTCCATGGTGCAAATTTGCATATGCTAATTTATAGATATAGTTGAGCATTTAGGCATTTTTTTAGAGGGAGAGCCACCCTGTAAACAAAGTAAATAAAACCAAACTTTTTAAAAGTTAATAACAACAGGGGGAAGGGGCTGAAGATCCTCAGCCCAGTCCAAAAGTCTTGAGGGTTGCCACAAGTGATGGTGGAAGAGAGGTTGAGAGTATTTGGGTAAAAATTGTAGGAGAGGGAAACAACAGCAACTTTTCTGTGCGAGTCTTCTATAGAGCACAAAGCTGTACTGAATACATGGCTGATGCCTTTCTAGAACAGATTACCAAACATTCAGAAAAGAGAGATATAGTAGGGAAATTGCAGTCAAACATAACTACGCATAAGTGCTAATTACCGCACAAAGGGTTAAGAAAATAGACCTGGATTCCTAGACTCTGCTATGTCCCCCCTTCTCCGATGAGAAAGTGAAGCCTTCTCTTCCTGTTCCCACTCATTCCACTCCATGTAACTGACAAAGGAAAATGTTTCTAAGCAAGCTCTAAGCTTAGGGCACGTGTTTGAAGCTATATTTCTGTGTTTACTACCCAAAAATATTCTGCCTATGTTCTCCTTGCTGCTGCTTGGATAAATGCATGAATCTGACCTTTGGAATGTTTTGTAAGTGTTTTAAACTTAATTAACAGGGTATGGTCTGTTCATTGTAAGAAGGGTAGAAAGAGAGCAGCACTGTTTGCAAGTGGATGAGATGGGATAAAAGAGTCTAACAACCTATATTCCTAGGACTATACTACTGCTTGACTTTTGTGTAAGTTCTACTACTGGGGACTCTCTCTTGCTGGCGGGTGAGTTTAGCCCTGTGTTTTGAATCCAGGCACCCAGCCTATTATTTTGCTGTTTACCCCACACATGTGGGTCACAGGGATTCATATTCCACCCCTCACCCCCCACACCCATATATATGGTATCTATGATATTCAAGAATTTCGCTCACTTGAACAGCAGCCAGCCATGCAATACACTGGAGGTGAGGGAGGGATTACACAGCTGGTCATTTCCATCACATATCTGAACAAAATGGAGATCAATTGTCCAGCAGGACATGGTACTGTGGCTTTGACCCAGGGTTCCCCACTTCATACCATCCAAGATCTTTGCAAATAGACTATCGAAATAAACTTGTTGAGAGGCAGGATATTCTTAAATGTCACCTACCTTTTAACCCAGATTGCATATGTATATCATCGTTGTATGTTCTCCTGTTGGAGGGAGTTTGGGATATAAATCTGATTAATAAATCATAATGTTTGACTGAGTTTCTCTGAAGGGTTTTCAGTGAATTGCATCTGGAAAGGCTGCTATGTTTCCTTATGTGATGCTTCTCTTCATCGTTGTAATCATTATCCTCCAGGGCGCCCTGACTCTGAGACAAGAAGCATCAAAGGACGTTGCATGAAACTCAACCACTGCTTCCTCATCGCTGCAGCCCTGCCAACTCGCTGGGCTGATTTACAAGCAAGGTTCCTTCTGAGGCTCTTTTATTTCTCTCTCTGCATCTACAGATTTGGCGCCTTCCGCTCCTGCTAGACCCTGGGTGTTGGTTTCCTTAGGAGCAGACCCATGCATTCCTACATCATGGCATCACCAGATAGGATGAGTGGCTCAGATAATGGATTAGACGAAGCAGAACTCAGCATCACTCTCACCCTTCGAATGCTTATGCATGGAAAGGTAAGTAAACAGAGACTCCCGTATTAGGTTGTGATCCTGATTTCGTTAGGGTCCATAGCAGACCTCTCATTGGATCAGATTTGCTGTTTGCCTTGGCGGGGAACATTGGCCATGATGCAAACCTAAGTCCCCAAACTCAGTGAGCCACTACCCTATTTCTAAATCAGGAGGGCACCTTGAAATACTAGTCACATACACACCATATATTTAATGTACACGATTCTCCCTCCAACTTAGTTAAGGGTGCTGGGAGTTGTAGTTATTTTATAGGTAAACTACAGTTCCCAGGATTCTTTGGGGGAAGCCATGTGCTTTAAATGTATCGTGCGGATGTGATTCTTTCCTACACACAATACCTCTTCTGTGTGGGGAATCTTGAGCTGGAATTACAAAATAGACTCAGCAGAAGACGTTGCCAAGGTGTCTGGATTAACATGTAAATTCACCGTAACATTTTTTATTTGTAAAGGCTCCAATAAGGAAGGTCTTGAGATTGCCAATGTCTGGGAAGAGGGATATCCCTCTCATTTAAGCTGTCAAATCCTGAATGACCCATGTTTTCCATTGGGGGTGGGGTGGGGATAAGAAAAGTGCTGCCTTCTCATTTTCTGGCAGAAAGTATACAGACATCGCCAAACTCCTGCTGATTTGTAAATCTCCCTTAATTCAACTTCTCATGTCTTTTGTGTTTCTGCAGGAAGTTGGCAGTATCATAGGCAAGGTAAGATTGATGTAGGCTCTTGTGTGTGGCGGCTGTTTCTTTGTTGCATCTGTGAAGCTGCGGAAGTCTGACAAACTTTTTTGTCCTTAATCCAACAGAAAGGAGAGACTGTGAAGAGGATACGGGAACAAGTAAGTGTGGAAGTAATTCCATTCTAGATTGGAATTGGCTGCCGGTCAAACATGGAATGGTGTAGAATGCCTATATGATTCTGGACATTTTATCTGGAAAAAGGTTTTTTTGTGAGGAAAGTGGGTATCCTGAATGAGAATTGAGAAGAGTATGCAGAGAAATGTGAAGAGGCACAAGGCAGGGGAGCAGCCTGCACAAGCCTTGTTTGTCAGCATTTCTTTAAAATTCAGATGAAGTTTAAAGTTACATGATTATTCTACAGAGGGGAAATACCATAGCTCAGTGGTAGATAACATTTTGTGGATGCAGAAAACTCCAGGTTCAGTCCTTGGGGTTCTCCAGGGAGGACTGTGATTTGGAAAAGGCTTTTTTCCTCTGAAACCCTGGAGAGGGAGCCACTGCGAACTATTGTCAACAATAGAGCTAGATAGATCTGTTATCTGGCAAAGGTGAGATGCAAATCAGTGACTTGAGATGCAGAAAGATCCCCCCCCCCATTTCAAGTCACATTTTTACATTGCTGTACACACCAGAGAGGGGGCAGGGATGTCTTTGCCCGCTGCAAATTACCTGATTTATTTATCTGTGCTTTTAATCCCCTGAACACCTATTCAGTGAAGTGTCTGTGCAGGTGCAACAGCTATCTCAATGGTCATGTGTGCACAGCCTCAGTGTGAGGCAGCTTCCTGTGTTCCCTAGAGAGGCAAGCGTGTCTCTCTCTCTCTCTCTCTCTCTCTCTCTCTCTCTCTCTCTCTCTCTCTCTTAGCTGCATGTCTGTAATATGGAGCCCATCTTACAGGATTCTTATATCAACAAAGCATTCTAAGCACTTAGTAGCAATGTTAAATTATTATTAATGACATTACTCGTGGTTTGCTTTCTTAGAGTACAGCCAGGATCACAATTTCAGAGGGATCGTGTCCAGAACGGATCACCACTATCACAGGATCCACTGATGCAGTTTTTAGAGCTGTTTCCATGATTGCTTTCAAGCTGGAAGAGGTAAGGTGGTCACTCAGTTCTGCCTCCACATGGCGGAGTCTCCTCCTCACAGAGTTTCAGTGCCTTGTACAGATGAAACTGAAGGATGAGGTACCAAAAGAAATATGTTTTTCCTCCACATATCCAGTGGCGTAGCGTGGGTTGTCAGCACCCGGGGCAAGGCAAGTAATTTGCGCCCCCTAACCTGTGGATTTTAGTAGGGGCAGAGAGCTGCGAGTGCGAGCGCCCCCCCCCCGATGTTGCGCCCGGTGCGGCCGGCCCCCCCTGCACCCCCCACGCTACGCCACTGCACATATCAGTTTAACACACACACAGAAACAAAAAGGCACAACAGTCACATCCTAGATAGCAGGAGAAAGCAAAATGCATGAGAATGTTCAACCACATAGCTCATTGAAAGATTATGACTAAACATGGAAAGGGTTCTGATATACTTACCTTTGCATGTAGGAGTTATCTTTTTAATGATACTGGCATGTAGAGTCAGGAGTTGGGCGGGGAGTTAAATCATGCTCCCAATCATGACACAGGTTAGGAGATCAGGCCATGCTATGCCTGGAAATCAGTGTGGAATGTTATTGGCTGGTTGCTCCAGGGTTTCTACAATCTGAATATCATCATATGGATTCTAGAAATGCTGGGGAAAAGAACCAGACCATTTGAGTGTCATGACAGCAGTGGTGTATCCGGAATGGTCCTATGCACACTACTACCAAAAAGGTGATTCTGAAGGAACCCACTGAATCTTGAACCTCATGGTTTTGTTTCAGGATCTGGGAACAGGAGCTGCCAATGGAGGAACTGTCACCAGGCCACCTGTCACACTGAGGCTGGTCATTCCAGCCAGCCAATGTGGCTCGCTCATTGGCAAAGCAGGAGCCAAAATAAAGGAGATCCGAGAGGTAAAAACTTTGGAAATCAGTTATCTGAGGTCTTCTCCTATTGCTTCATTCCTCTCCATGCCATGGACAAGAACACCTGTTTCTTCTACGTTTGTTTTCTGTACCTGAACCATTTTTCTTCCTAGTTTTCATATTTGCTACTCATCCTAAGCTACCTGAGTGAACTTTTATAAAACTAGGAGCTGCCATTCCCCTGCATTAACTCCCCAGAGCTTCCCCTTCCCACCCCATGCAGCTACTAAGCTCACTTTTCACCCTCCCAACCCCATTTCTGGGCTTCTCTCATCTGTTCTGCAGCTCCACTTTACACCTGTTTGCACCTCCACCCCCATTTCCATGCCTTCCCCCTCCTTTTGTGCAACCCCCCCTTGTACACAAACCACCCCCATGGGAACCCTCTGCTTCTTCCTCCACCCACACATTGCAAATATGAAGCACCCTTTTTACCTTCTGCCCAGTTCTGAAGCCACCATCTCCGCCTATTCTGCAGTCTTGCATGCTCATGCTTTTCTCTTCAACCCCATTTCCTTGCCTCCTTCTCACCTTTACTCCTTTCCCCCCTCCACCTGCCTCCTTACTTTTCTCAATTCTTTCTTGCACATAGATCACCCCCCCCCCGCATTTCCATGCCTTATGCCAGGGGTCCTGCAACATGCCTGTCACGATGCCCATGGTGTGGCCCAGACCCACTGCCGGCTAGCTGGCCCCTCTGTCCATGGCTGTGCCAGGTTTACCTCAGCCGCGGGTGGCAAGACTTCAGATTGGCTGCAGGAACTTCCTGCAGCTAATCCGAATCTGCACCAGCGTTGCCGCCTGCCCAGAAGCCGTGCCAGCGTCGCGGAAGTCAGTCCCCGCGTGGCAAGGCATCTGCAGCGCGCAGGGACTGACCAAGCGGGCAGCAGGGTCCACGGGCTGGATTTATGAGCCTGGGGGGCGCATCTGGCCCCCGGGCTGTAGTTTGCCGGCCCCTGCCTTATGCGCTCTCCTATTGTGCAGCCACTTTTGCGCACACACGACATTATCACCTTTGTCCTCCTTTTCCTACTTCCTACTTACAAATCTCCCTTCCACACAGACCTCCCACATTTTCATGCCTTTTCCTCTCTCCTGTTCTGCAATCTCCTATCAGCATGGGGTGTGTGTGCAAAGCTGATATATGTTACTGCATCTTTAAGAGCAAAGCTGTCATTTGGCTTGCTCAGTTAGGGAAAATTTAATGGATGGATGGTGTGTGTGTGTGTGGTTGGTTGGTTGGTTGGTTGGTTGGTTGTTAATAACATATTGTCAGGGACTCTTAATGAGTGTGTGGTGGAGGGTTGGAGACTGATCCAGGGGAGGGGACCAGTGATTAATGGGGTTTGGTGCCCCTCATGAGCCACGAATGAAAGAGGAAAAAATCTAAAACTGCCATTTTTTCCCCTTTCACTGTCTGTCCTTTCTCACTGTACTCAAACAGCAGCAGAAATTTGAGTAAAGCAGCGGTAGAGGGTCACAGAAACGAAAACTGGTTTTAAACAACAGCAGAGGTTTGAGGAAAGCAGGGATAGAGAGACATTGAGTTGTTTATTTTTTTAAAAAAGCAGTTTTAGTAAGGAGAAATAGAAGAGGTGGTATACAAATTTAATAAATAAGTAATAAACAAAATTTTGAGCTAAACTACAAACATTTCTTTGAGAGGGTCTGATGAATTCTTTTAATTGTGTGTGAATTAATCTCTGCTTAGGAAATCATACCATTAGAAGAAGACTCTGAAATACTTCCCTTCTAGTGATCCATGTGCTGTTTCTGACCTGGCTGTTCTCTGGGTGGGCAGGGTTCATTAGAATGCCCAGAAAGACTGAGAATTTGCTTTTGGCCCCTAATGCAGACCACAGGAGCACAAGTCCAAGTGGCTGGAGACCTCCTCCCCAACTCCACCGAGAGGGCTGTGACAGTCTCTGGAGTACCAGATGCCATCATCCAGTGCGTGCGACAGATCTGCGCTGTCATCTTGGAGGTATGGGTCATTGGGTCCACCTCACCAGGCGAGGACAACATTCTGCAAGTTGTGGAGAAGTGGTACCGCAAGGCTGGGTATCTACATCTCCAAATTAGACTGTCCTACATTTCCTTCCAAACACACATGGAGAATTGTTAGAAAATGCCACCCCGTTGGTGATAATACGTATAAGCTGGCTGCGTCCCTTCCCAGCTGGTTTTGCTGTACCTTCTGATGCTTCTGTATCTTGGGTCCCTGCTTCCTTTCCCTTTTCCTGCACTTCTCTTTCAGCTGGAGCCCAGAGCTGGAGCTTTGTTCAGAGACCAGGGTTATCAGCCATATCTAGCGTAAGGAACAGTACTGCCTTTGTGACATTAGCTGCCATTGCACCAATCAGCACTCTCAACTATCATTGCCCCCTTTCTTAGGACACAGTTGAGAATGAGGATTGGTGCTATGGGTGCTGATGTCACAAACATAAGTCACATTGGCTTTTGACCCCTTAAAGCAGAAGAAATCAGTGATATTCCCCTTTGATTTTTTCAACCCTTCAAAGCAGATTTGGGGAGGGGTGCATATGGTGTGTGTGGGGGGGAGTTCTGTTTTGCTGGTGTAAATCCTTAACAGCTGGATATTGCCCAATATAATTCATTTATATCATTGTAAATCTGACCAAAGAAGCAGCAGCAGGGGTGTATACCTGCAGGCAGTTCTCCTCATCAATATCCTCCTACCTATCTGCCTTTCTACTCTAAGGGGAAAATGTACCGGATCCCTGTATCTTTTCCCCTGTAAGGAGAAGAACAGCTGGGTGGGTGTTTTGATCACAAAAATGTGTCCATGGGGAAAGGGTTAAACATACTTTCCCTACTATGCTACTGTTGAATCAGAAAGAAAGAAAGAAAGAAAGAAAGAAAGAAAGAGGAAGGAAGGAAGGAAGGAAGGAAGGAAGGAAGGAAGGAAGGAGGTGGAACCTTGCACCAAGTCTGAACTTTGCTCCATCTAGCTCTGTTGTCTTCACTGGCTGGCAGCAACTCTCCAGCGCTTCAAATTGGGATCTTTCCTGGCCCTGCCTGGAGATGCCTGGAGAATCAAACTTGGGACCTTCTACATGCAGAACGGATGCTCTGCCACTTAGCTATAGTCCTTTCCTTCAGCGGCTGCTCACATGTCAGATCTAGTTTGGCCCATAGTGAACACTGTTTGCAGAGCTGAAGATGAATTCTGCCCTAGATGTCTCATGGTAGCTTCAGTCTGCATGAATGGCACCTGCAGTAACTCTGACAGCCCTGTCAAAAGTTAGTTCCATCAGTGGAATATATATCACCCTTTCCTTGTTGACAGTGTCAAGAAGTCACACATTGCTCCTTAAGACAATGCATGTGAAATCACTGAGTCAGATAATATCCTCTGAAAACCTCCAGCGTAGGAGGGTGCACCATCCCTCGAGGTCACTGGTTCCATGGCAGAATTGCTGTTATCAGGGCCAGATTTTGGTAATATGGTGCCCTGAGCAAGGACAAAATTTGGCAACCCCCCCCCCCCCAATATTTCCTATTTTCACAATTATTCATTTTGGTACAGTTGCTTTTTAATCTTCTTAGTAGGTACCTGTATAAATATAGGTATTACTATTATTATTGTTGTTATTATTATTATTAGTAGTAGTATTTTGTTCCCCCTTGGCTCAGCTCCCTATGCGGGGGAATCACCCACACCAACTTAAATCTGGTGCTGCTGTTACCATCAAGATATTTCTCCATCTGAAATTTCCCCTCCTGAAACTGAAAGTTATTAGATCTAGTACTGCTCTCTGGAGGAACTGAGAACCAGATTTTGCCTTCTTCTGTGTGACAGCCCTTCCAAGAATTTGAGGAGTGCCATCATGTCCCCCTCTCAGTCTTCTCTTCTCCAAAATAAACATACCAGCTCATGAGGAAAGACTGAAAGAACATACCTAGTCCCTTCAACCTTTACCTCATGGGACTGTTTTTTTAAAATTGCAGGCCACCTTTATTGTTCTCCTCTGAACCAGGCATCCCTAGGCACTACTCGTAGCATATCATACCAAACAGGAGTTAGTTAAAGATATTCCCAGCCAGTGCCTATTTTGCAACTCAAATAAATCCATCGGAATGCACAGGAAGTAACAAGGGTACTATGGCCATTAGGATGTCATGGGTGGGGGGGATACTGATGGGATGGGATGGAAGTGGCATTGTGTATATGGTGCAGTGATTCCTCCTTTGGTTTCCTTCAGTCTCCACCAAAAGGCGCCACTATTCCCTACCACCCCAGCCTGTCCTTGGGATCAGTTCTTCTTTCAGCCAATCAGGTAAGGGACTCATAAATTCACAGGAGACCATTTTTCGGTTGAGGTTAAAAAGAGAGAGAACCATTAGGCTTTGGTTCTCTTGTTACCCTGTAATCAAAGGGCGGGTAAGACTGCGTCCTGCCAGATGTTGTTGTGCGGTGACAACTCCTTTCTTCACTGTCCATTGGCCATACTGGCTGGGGCTGATGAGAGTTGGAGTTCAACAACATCTGGAGAGCCACTGGTTTCCCCCACGCCTACATTCACCACCACATCAAATATCAAGCCAGATTAGAAAGTATCAGAATGACTTAATGGGTATCGATTTTACCTTTCCACCTTGACTTCTGGCTTCTTCCGTGTCATGTGACCAAGCACTTGCTGTCAGATCCCTCGGAGACCATATATACAAGGACCATCTTGGCTGTGAATCCTAGGAAACTTGCTCCCTGCCTTGCAAGCCTTTTCCCATCTGGCCTGGGAGGGCGGGGCCCTGACTGACTACAGCTGCAAAAGCTGAGGCTGCTGAACAGACTCTTGGTATTGATAGGGGGTTTTGTGGGCTGGGGGGAGGTGTTGCTGTTGTTGCTGTTAATTTTTTGTATGCTTAAACCAACAATAGCGCAATGGAATCTTTTAAAGTTTACAGAGAAAAAGGAGAATCTACGTTACGGTGAACCAGTTTATAGGACGTGGGGATTTAACATGGATATTTTGCTATATGCCTAAAGAAAATCTGCTATTTTGTTAAAAGTTGTTTATCCTTGCAAAATTCTGCCCTGCTGCGATGCACACAGTCAGGTTTAACAAATGTTGCCACTCAAGCACATCTGAGGATTGACAGCCAGTAAAAAATCAAAACTTATTTACCAGATGACCCAAAATTGAGGCTGAAAAGTGTTGATTGGCTGAATAAAATAAAATGACAACTGTATAAGAATAATTTATCTCAGTGAGATGGTGACCCAGTTCCCACACAATGGTGCTAGACAATAAGCCTAAAGCTTATTGGTATCAGCAGACAGATTATATTAGGTGTAAATCTGTAATGTGCTGCCCCATTTCAAATCTACTTTAAGCTTTCATTTACTATGAAATGATGCATAACTGATTTGAATTTTATATTAGGAGGAACAATTACTCATCTGCATTTCAGCCAGATGAAATCATCATAATTTGGGGTCAATAGAATAAACTATTCTGAATTTAAGTGAAATAGAAGACCTAACACTCTGAGTTTGGAAATACCATATATTAAAGATAAGAGGGAGAATTGCACAGATACATCTGACTTCATTATTTACTAGTGTCCTCCTAGTGGTGCAGCTATAAAATTGCTTGCACATTTGCATAGCTAAGCAGGGTCCAGTATGGTTTCAAATTAGATGGGGAATCGTGTGTTGAGATTCCTGCATCACAGGGGGTTGGGCCAGAAGACCCTCAGGATCCCAACTCCACAATTCTATGATTATAATTATCATCTATGTTTTATTCTACAATCATTTTCTAAGGTTTTGTTTGTGTATGTTCTAAAAGTTTAACTTTAAGCTTTTGGTGAGCAAAATGAATGAGATTCACTCTTCCCATATTGCTTATTCATTTATTTCTGGGTAGGATGATGAAACTGCTTATGGAATTTCTACAGCCTCTTTCTGACTGGTCCTAGTCCTTTCCTCACCTTAAAACTGACATTTCAGTAAGCACAGTAGTTACCAGGAAGTCTACTTTCTTGCGAGCTTCTCTTCCCCGGCTCCCCATTTCTTATTTATTTAAGTCCTTTGAGATTTACCATAAACAAAATACAAATGACAAGTAAGCCCATCCATTCTTATTCTCAGTTCTGGCACCAGCACCCAGTGTAGGTAGGCATTTGCCAAGGATCATTTACAGCAGCAAGGCCCCCTGGGGCTGATGCCTTGCCTTGGCTCCCTGAGCTCTTGCTGGCCCTTAAGCACCTGGCAGCACCAGTGTCCTTGCAACCCCACTCTCTTGCTTGCTAACTTGTGAGCTGGCTTATCCTGTGCTGTAATGAGCCAGGAGCCACATGGCTGCTCTGCTTCCGGTTCATTTCAGCACCAGCACTGTGAGGGTAAGCCCACTCTCGTGGGCAAGCACAAGGGGGAATCTGGCAGCTGCCTTGTGCTCACAAACATGCATGCTTACCTGGCAGCGATGCCTCATGAGCCTGCACAAGGGGGAGTGGGAGGCTGGTGGCTACTAACCGTGCTACCTTTACCAGAGGGTCAGAGTGGTGGCAAGCACTGGCAGGCAGCAAGGGTAGTTTCCCCAGCCCCCTTCCAAAATCTGGAACTGGGCCTATTCATTCTCTTACATTTTGGATAGCGCTGTTCTCCTTTGTCATCCTTTTTTCAGGGATTCTCCATGCAAGGACAGTACAGTGGTATGTCTCAAGCAGAGGTAAGTCAAGCTTTACAGACTAAAAGGAAGCTCCATTTTGAATTCACACTTCCAAGTAGTTCAGTGTATGGCTAGGACCAGCTTCTTCAAGCCTTCACGTTCCATCGTTCCCCATGTCTTGTTGTGCTGCTTGCCGGTTCCGGACTTGCCATTCTGCCTCCCTGTTCTCTCCCTCCTGGCATCCAGATGGCAAATCCTGGTGCCTCCAGACATCTTTTTTTGGCGATCACTCGTAGCCGAGTGTCTTCAATGAACACTGTTTTAACAGTGAGTCCGTAAGTGACTGTGGAGGCCAATTCTGGATCAACACATCCTTCCACAGTGGGGGACATAGGTTCCTGGCGAGAGTTGATCACAGTGAGGGTTTGCCAAGCGTGCCTTCCTCTTAGCACGCTCCTGAGTTCGAGCGTCTGCAAAGCTCATGACACCTTTGGTAAAGGCTGTTCTCCAACTGGAGCGCTCACAGGCCAGTGTTTCCCAATTGTCAGTGTTTATACTACATTTTTTGGATTTGCCTTAAGAGAGTTTTTGAAACTCTTTTGTTGACCACCAGCATTACACTTACCATTTTAAAGTTTGAAATAGAGTAGTTTCTTTAGAAGACGATAATCAGACATCCACACATTACGACCAGTCCAACAAAGTTGATGTTGAAGAATCATTGCTGGTGATCTTTGCTTTCAGACATAGCTGGGCTCCAACTCCCATCAGCCCCAACAGGCATGGCCAATGGCTAGGCTATGGATGATGGGAGCTATAATCCAGCAATGTTTGGAGAGTACCTTGTTGGGTAAGGCTATACAATAATTCATGACAGCAGGCAGCACTGCTGGTAACTTTCACTTTACTCCATTTCATATACCGTATTTTTCCGTGTATAAAATGATGCCTTTTGCTATAAAAAAAGGGCAAAAATTGGGTGTCATCTTATACACGTATAGTGAATGCAGAGGGAGGACGTGTGATTAATGGCAGCAGCAAGCAGGAGATTGGCAGCGGCGATTGGGCAGGTGATTGGTGGCTGTGGCAAGGCCTGCTGGCGATTGGCTGTGGCAATTGGGCAGGCAATTGGCAGCTGCGGCAAGTGGATGGGTGGGCTGTTGGTGGTGGTGAGCGGGCAGACAATTGGCGGCTGTGGTGATGTGTGTGATCGGCAGTGGCTGTGGCACATGATCAGCAGTGGCAGGCAGGCGGGTGAGCAATTGGTGGAAGTGACCTCCCCCCCCCAAGCTAAACTTAATTTCTTAATTTTGGGTTAAAAAAAATAGGGGTCGTCTTATACATGGGGGCGTCTTATACATGGAAATATATGGTAATTCACATGCTCAGTTAGTACTATACCTCAGGAGTAGCCAGCACTTGTATTCTAGGTGTATGGCTGACCCATCTACTTCCTAATGTGAGCAGGTAGATGGGAACGCAGGTCTTGCTGTCATTCCACTGACTTCTTCCTCTCATCTAGGTGTCGAAGTTGCAGCAGCTTTCTGGGCAGCCTGTCTCATTCGCTTCCTTGGGACAATCTCCGTCAATAGTAGCAGGTGAGGAACCCCAAAGAGCTATGAAGCCACTTAAACTCCCACAATCCTCTGTGGCAGACTATGGCCCTAGGGGCTTACTCAGATGAACAGTGAGCCTGTGCTCCAGCTGCCTTTAGGGAATAGGTCTCCACGGAAATAACATGGTGCACGAATAATTGGCCCTAGAAATAGGGAATGCAGGACCTTCAAAGAACTAAATAAATTAGCAAATTGCTCATGAAATGATGGAGAATTGCTAGGTAAGGGAGGGGGTTGGCTTTGTTGGAACCTGCCACTTGGTCTTTTTTCAAAGGCTGGATCAGCACTCTTATGCTAGAGTGGGATACCAGAAGGAGAACTGGAGCATTTATCTTCTGACTCAGGAAAAGCTGTGGCCCTCCAGATATTGCTGGACTACAAAGCCCATCATCCCTGACCATTAGCCACACTGTTTGGGGATATTGCGCATTTCAGTCCAACGGTATCTGGAAGGTCACATGTTCTGCATCCCTGCTCTGTATATATATATATTTTTAAAGCACAACACTGGATAAATTCAAGACTAAAAATGGGAGTGCACTCTCTGGCATGTGCACACACATAAATAAGGGAGGTGGGTATCATTTTTTTCTGAGAATCTTGAACTCTTGGTTACAAAAGCAACAAAAGAATCTGAAGGCAAGTGTACTTTTTCGTATAAGGGAATGTGGATTCATGCATACGTACTTACGATTGCTGGGGAAAGATGTAGACATACCCCCCCCCTCACACACACAGCCCACCATACTTGTCAACAGGATTTTTTTTTAATTCATTATGAAAAGTAATCCAAGGATTTTCCACCTAGGATTTTTTTCTTATTACGTTAAAAGAACAGCATTAACCAATGGGAGTCTGCATCAGACAGGAGGAGGGTAGGACAGTCTCCCTCAGTCTAAAATTAGTCCGGTGTAATGTGACCCAAGCAAAGTGGCATAAAACAAAAGCCTCTTCTTGGAGCTTCTGATGGCTTTGCAGTAGCTGGGAAACGGTCCAGTCCTGTTTGCGTGCCTCCTGCTCTTTGCACCGTGCAGTGCCTGGAAAGGATTCTTTGGGTTTCTCTTCTTCTGTAGCCTTGTGATGTGGTCATCCTAGCACTCCTCCTTTTAGGCAGGCAAGAAAGAGCCAGGAGAGAACAGCCCCAGTAACGTTGTGCTTCTTTTCTCCCTTTTCAGCCCTGGACACGAACGCTCAGAATAGCTCTCAGGAGTTCCTGGTTCCTAACGATGTAAGTTTGCCTCTATGAACTACAGTTCCCAAATATATTTTGGGGATAGTCATGTGCTTTAAATGTATGGTGTACATTTAGTAAGCTTACACATGTGTCCACAGAGGTCTTCCTTGGTGCTCATAGGGTCCTCCCCATCCCACTTGGTGCTTGAAAGAAGCTTTGTATTGCAGCCCAAAGGGAATAGGTTGTGGTGTTTGTTGAGTTGTGTGCGTTGTGCCCATTATAGTTTCCCCGGTTTGCAAATGTGTGCATGGGCCCCAAAAGGTTATAATCAGAGCCAAACCCATTCCACTCTTTATGGAGATCTTCAGAGAGTGATTCCGTTCAAACAAAAGTAGAACAGCCCTAAATTTTTTGCTGCAGCGTCCTTAGGCTTCTTTCTCAGTCAAAACTAGGTTGGAAAAGGGGACAGGGCTCTTGCAGTTTCAACTGTTGTGTAGAAGAGGAAATTTCACCAGGTGTAGCTTGTCATGCAAACTACAGTGGTACCTCAGGTTACAGATGCTTCAGGTTACAGACGCTTCAGACTCCGCTAACCCAGAAATAGTACCTTGGGTTAAGAACTTTGCTTCAGGATGAGAACAGAAATCGTGCGACAGCGGCAGCGGCAGGCCTCATTAGCTAAAGTGGTACCTCAGGTTAAGAACAGTTTCAGGTTAAGAACGGACCTACAGAACGAATTAAGTTCTTAACCCAAGGTACAACTCTTGAATTAAGTTCTTAACCACTGTACAACTCTTGAACTTTTGCATCAGGGCACCCTCCATGAAGCTCGCTCATTTGGTGAGAGACCATTTAGTCTTGGAGTACAGTTTCCTAGCAAGCTGTGAACCCTCCTGCCAGTACTGTTACCTAGCTTGCAAAAGTTCAGTGTTTCATCAAAGCATGTGATCTGCCGCTCAGCCATGGTCCTTGAAAGGAAGATAAGTTCAGCAAAGCCCCGGGTTGTTTTATCTATCCTCACTCTCACACAAACTCCAGAATCAAGGGCTACTGTCTCAAATCCATCCCTCACAAGCCTTCTCTCCTCCACACAATTGCCATTGTACCTTCAAAACACATTAAAGGAAAGTCTTCCCCAAGAGAATCCTGGGAACTAACAGAGCTATGATTCCCAAGAACAGTTCCCAAGATTATTAGTATGTACACAGACATGTTTATGCTCCTGTTCTTTAACAGCAGCCTGGCATGGAGAGACATTAAGCAGGTGAAGCTTATCATGGCCCAGAGATAAATGGTGGGAAAAGAAGGGGCAGCGATAAACAGTCCTCTGAGAGAGAGGAGCATCAGCCGTGGGAAAGGTTAACTTCCTCCGACTTCTTCGCCATCACTCCCATGTGAGCTGTCCTTTGCTCTCTCTGTGTGTATCTGTGGAAGCTGAAGCCCAGAAGGGGTGAATATGATAAGAGAGGAATGTGCCAGCATTTCTTGTGCCCACCCACTTGCCAGCCCGGCTGCCAGTGTACTAGGCCTGCTCTGCAGATGTCAGCATGTGTTGCTGGGCACACAGCAGGCCGTTGTAGCATCTCAGAAGGCAGGAAACGAGTGGGCAGGAGGGCAGCGCTGACCTTTACTTCTGCCCCCTGACCCTGCGTGGGGAAAAGTAGCTCTTTCTGAAGTTTTTGTTTATGGAACAAGCCTCATGAAACTATCTGGACTGTTTTATTTTTTAAATAGGCCAATTCCTGCCACAGTGTGGTAGGTACCCTGAACTACATGGCTCAGTTCATGTTTTCCACTCCCTTGAGAGTGAATAAAAATGGCTAAATCTCAGGCTTGGAAAGGTAAAGTGTAGATAAGCCTGAAGCCTTGATGGGTTCTGGCTCAGACTCATCCAATACTGAACAACAATAAATCAAGCAGACCATTGTGTACTATAGGTCAGGCTTGGGAAGGTTCACTCATTCCCTCATTCAAGAGTTGCCTAAAATGAGTAAACGCTCTCTGTTCGCTTTGTCCAGTCCTGTCCAGTTCTTAGGCGATGAGGTTTCCAGCGCGGTTCCACTCCAAAGACTGATCCTTCCTTTCCCCTCCTAGCTCATTGGCTGCATCATTGGCCGCCAAGGCAGCAAGATCAGCGAGATCCGGCAGATGTCCGGAGCGCACATCAAGATTGGGAACCAGACCGAGGGCTCTGCTGAGCGTCACGTGACCATCACCGGCACCCCAGTCAGCATCACTTTGGCTCAGTACCTCATCACAGCCTGGTAAGAGCCATTAGGACTGCTGGGCAGGTCAAGTGGGGAGTAACGCAGCACTTGCGCAGCCGTCTCGTTGCAGCTTCTTCCTGCTGTGCCCAAGCCTGTGGCCTCTTAGATGGACAGCTTTGCGGAGAGCAAGCGGCAGTGCCTTGCTGTCACGGCTGAATTTGCCGGTTTGCAAACACTCAGCCCTCTGCTCAAGAGACAGGAGTGCTAAGCGTAGCACCACGAAGTGTTCTCATTGCTTTGTTGTCTGTCTTTCATACTAATGCCTGCCTGTCTCTGACACACATGAGAGTAACCAGGCCTTGAGTTTCTCGGGAGCCACCGTGATTTCTAGTATCCTTGCCTACAATATGTTGGGCATCAATGTTCCCTTTGCAGCTGCAAAGCACTCTTATACCACTTTAAGCATCATGGCTTCCCCCCAAAGAATCCTGGGAACAGTGGTATGTTAAGAGTCTCCTAACAACTCCTGGCACCCTTAACAAACTACAGTTCCCAGAATTCTTCGGGGGAAGCCATGATGCTTAAAAGTAACATAAGAGTGCTTTAAATGTCAAGTGTGGATGTGACCTTAGTTCAGTGCAGGAAGAACTGCTGTGTCACAGCAGGGAATTCTCCCGTCCTGTCCAAAAGATAACCTCACTTAAACAGAGCAACATTTGTCATTGGTCGCTGTTGTGACCTGGCATTTGGGATGCTTCAAGATTTAGAGCAGGAAATAGCCATTCACGGTTCAGGGATCACCACCACTACAGGGTGCAAGTTTTCAAGGCGTGGAACCCGTCATTGACGGATGCATGTAAGCGTTTTCGTAATCAGTTTTCCCTGTGGTGATGACCCCAGAACTCATTTCAACTTTTGTTGCATTTGCATGTTGAAGGAGAATTAACAGCCTCCATCTCCCTTCTTTTCTTCCTGGGACAAGTTAATAGATAAACAATACCGTGTGTCTCACGTGGAAGAGGTTCTCATTTCCCCAGAAAAACAAAGTGGTCTGTCAATGACCTGAGAAAGCCAAGAAGGATATGTGGCTGGAATGCTTTGCAATTCCATGATTGTTTAAATAGGGACCATGACAAGGTATAACATCCTTAACATAGCCACTTCTGAGTTCCAAACAAGCCCTGTGTGTCATACTGAAGGTTCTCCACAAGAATGTAGTCCCAGAGGGAGAGGACTCTGGAGCAGACATTATCTGGAAGCAAAAGCGATGTAGAGTACCTTGTTCACTAGCTCCATTCTTTGTGTGTACCTATTCCTTTGCACATGTCAGCTCAAACACTTGCCTGTGTGTGTGTGTGTGTGTGTGTGCATATCCATACTTGTATGTATGTATTATACAAACTGCACATATCCTCCCACACCTATGCATATTTTTCCATGTGCAAGCTTGTACATGCATATAACAGCACATATACGTCCAAGTATATGTCCTCACACGCTGCATTTGTATGTGTAAATTGTGCATGCAGGCACGAGTCTCATTCTTTCTCCCTTCTTGTTCTTCAGTTTAGAGACGGCCAAATCTACCTCTCAGACGCCCCCCGTTGACCTCGGCATGACTTTCTCCCAGCCCCTCACCCCTTCGCCAGCCCCAACGCTGACAGCAGTGGCCGCGCCTCCCCCAGCCTTGCTTGGTGCCCCCTATGCCATCTCCCTCTCCAACTTCATTGGCCTGAAACCTGTCCCCTTCTTGACGCTGCCTTCCTCAGCCACGGGGCACAATGGCAGCCTTGCCACCTACACGACCAAGATCTCGACAGCCAATGCCAGCAAGAAGGCTGAGAGGCAGAAGTTCTCCCCATACTGAAACAGGGAGGTGGGGCAGGGAGGGGAAACCTTAGGAGAACCCTCACACGCTTTGTTAGATGGCATCAGCGTCGGGCCGCTCCAAAGCGAGACTACCTGGGGAAAGAGGTGAGGGGGGGAGCCAAATGTGCAGGAAAGGAAGTGTTTGTGGGAGAGGATAACCGAGACAGCTCTTGAAAGCAGTGCTGGCCATGAGACAGTCAGGGAAGTGGTGCTTCTGCAGAGCTCCCACCCGATCCTGGCTAAAGATATGTCTATCATGGGTAAGAGCAATCAAGCCTCATAGTTTTGCTTCCGTGGAACAAATCTCTGCCCTGCACTATAAAGTGTTATTATCCTTTACCTTCCATAAACCTTCCTGATCGCTTTCAGCAATGAAGATGAAGAGGTTCTCTCTCCATCTGGTTTCTTCACATGTTTTCTTTTTTTAAGGAAAACACGTTACTTAAAGACAATTGGAACCCCCACTCAAATTCTTTGTACTGTATTGATAGAGCTGGAGGTCTTGGGAAAGGTCCCATCTCGACTGTGGCACTGGCTTGTTAGACCTTTGGTGATCCTAACAGAGAACATGCTATGCTACTATCTCTCATGGGTTGCATTTCCAAGAGCAGAACTGGAAAAGGGTTCTGATTTCTATAGAACTGGAAGCTGTGCATGTCCTAGAAATCACAGAATGTACCAAAAAGGAAATTCTTCAGTGTTTTTTTTGTTTTGGTTTTTGCCTAGCACTTCTCTCCTAATATATGAAGCTGGCTGTGAGTTCCATTTTAGCTGGATTAGAATACAGGATGGAGTTTTCATGACTGTTCAGCTTGGCTCCTGACCTCCTACAAGTGGTTGAAGGGAATTAGTTTTCACCAGACATCCCTCTAATATTTAGCATGAATTTTCTGGATCAAACCGGAGGCCCATCCACCCCAACCTTATGTTCATCCATTGGCCAACTCAGATGCCCATGGGAAGACCAGAGGCATATAGTTGTCTTTCCTCACTGATAAACAGAGCAGTTCTTTATAAATATTCCCTATCTGTTACAAGGTAAGAGCTTCCAGCACTGTCAATCCCAGCTGGTCACCTTATCATATGTGAGCGACATCTCCCCTCATTTAACTTTATGGCAGAAATCCGTCCTCATATATATCTGGCAGGATGTGCGATATCTTGCCATGCCACTCATCTTTGGGTTTATCTCTTGCTGTCATAGGATGACATCTCCAATAAGTGCTTTCTCGTTTTGCTCTCATCTCTTGCAGTGCAATCCTAAGCATGTTTGCTCCAGAAATAAGCCCTTACCCCTTCCATCACTCATTAGTGGATATAGGACTGCAGCCTTAGTGAATTCTGCCACATTTTGTCCTCTTGTCAGCCCTTCTCTCTTTGTATCAGTATTGTAAGGGCACTTGTCTAGTCAGAACATGCCCATGAGAGTCAAGAGGTGGCGCCCTGAGACCTCAGGTTGAAGCAGATGCCCATCTTGGTGATTTCTGGTTAAAGTTACCAACATGCATGTCTGGCACTTGCACTTGCGTCCTAAACAGACGGCCATCACAACAGCATATAATTCATCCAAACCTCACCCCAAAAAATTATCCCCATGGATTAAATGTACCATATAGCCAAAGATTCTATGGCTACTTTCTTAGTTGGTTTGCAAATTGGCATGGCTTCACCAAAGTGGGTCGGATTGTTGGCTAAGTGACAGGTTGTCAAAAGACTGCACAATTCACTGTCAACACTTTATAAGGCATTAAGTGGACGGTGATTGTTGAACAGACCTGGAGAAAACGGATGAAACGAACACAGCAAAAAGGTCCTGGCTCTGGCCCTGCTTGTAGCCATGAACTAGTTGGCTCATGATAAGCAAAGGTTAGTAGTCACAGGCCTGTGTGGAGTAAATGCATACCAAAAACGAAACACTGAAATTCTGCATGCGGTCGATGCAAATCCTGGAAAGCTCTTTTCTATGACCAGCATAAACCATACAAATGTGCATATACTTCTCCTATTTTTGTATAATATTGTTTGCTATTTGGCAATAAAATAAATCCTCCTTTGGGAGGAAGGGCAGGGTATAAATGGTATGAATGAGTAAATAAATAATACTGGATTTGCTAAACATGGCAGGGGCAAAAGCACGGAAGCCTCACTCAAACCCCACTGCCTGGGAATCTTGTGCAGGGGGCTCATCTCAGTCACTGAGAAGCACATCTTTGCAGCATAGTCAATGCTTTCTCTGTGCTCCTTCAGGAATCACAGGCTACACTCAGCCCTGATTTACTGAACCAAAGCTGTCAGGGGGGAAAAAGAAGCCAAACAGGCTGCAAAAAGGAGACAATTGAGGTTGATTTGGTGTAGTAGTACCTTTACAATCTCAAGAAGCAACAGGATCTCAGATTTGCCCTCAGTTACACATTGATTTGGTAACATAAAGTAGACTACCTACACCTGTTTAGGCACTGATCACTTCTGATTAAATAGTTTCAGCAGATTCATGTATTTATTGCAGCCTTTCCTCAAGCTGGTGCCCTCCGGGTGCTTTGAACTACAGTTCCCATCATGGCTGGGGCTGACAGGAGTTCTGGCCAGAGGCAACCAAGCTGGGGAATGCTCATCGAATGCGTCAAATTCTCAGGTGGTGTAATTCAGCACTGAGGCATCCCAGTATTTGGATTCCACAAAAACACAGGGGAATGGAGCCAAAATTTCCTATTCCTACAAACCAATCTAACCAGTTGTCCATTTCGCCTTGTTCCCTGGCTGGTCCCAATCTCTCTCACTTCCCTGCATCACTCGCTGGCAAAAAAAAAGCTTCTATCTCTTTTTAACCCTTTTTATTTTTTATTTTTGGCTGCTCCAAGGAATGTCCCACCTCCTATCCCATGATCCTCTTTGGCTTGTCTTTGAAAATGCTGTACATATAATTCTATATTTTTTCCTCCTTTGTAACTTATGATTGATTTAATAAAAATGCAAACTTTGTCAACTCAGAGGGTAATGTCATTAGGATTTTGTATACATTTGAATTAGGCAAAGCAAATGCACATGCACCCCTCCGGCTATTTACATGACTGAATAAAAAGGGAAAGAAAAGGCTTATTCAGTGTTTTGCCTAAGAAGCAGCGGCAGCTAGATTCTTGCCGACCCATCCCACCTGGTGGCTGGGCACCTGGTCTTTCAACCAGATGCAAGCCAGCGAGGGAAAAAAGGGCAGGTGAAACTTGTTCGGCTCTTAACACTGAATGCTGAAGAAAACTTCACTTACTGAATTTCTGTTTGTTGTGGAGGAGTCAGAATCCTTATTTGGGGAAGGGGGGAAGCAACTGTGGAGTATGATTCAGATTCCTACTTTTTAATTGATTCAGAATAATTACCACCCAGTGGACATGTCCCAACAATTTTCTGTGGATTGACATTTGCAACGTTTTAGCGGTGAATTGCGGGTTTCCCCAGGGAAAGCAGTGGGACAAAAAGAATCCTGCTCAGCCCCGCGCCTGAAAGTCCCAAACCTATGCCCAGAAATTGCAGCACAAACAGAAATCTGAATGAGCCCATAGTCAGCCAATTCTCATTTTGTCCCCCTCCTCCTCCTCCCTCCTGCTGGATTCTACAAGGGCAACGCTGAGACCTAATGCTGTGTGCACATCATACATTTAAAGTGTATGACTTCCCCCAAAGTATCCTGGGAACTAGCTGGTCGAGGGTGCTGGGGACTGTAGCTCTTGAGAGTGGCAAACCATGCTTCCTAGGATTCTTTTGGGGAAAGTCGTGTGCTTTACATGTGTGGTGTGTGCACAGCCTGGTTCTAAGAAGGCAGACAGCTGGGGCTGCTTGAAGGCAGGCTGATGTGTTGGTGGGGAGGTGCCCCATGCGCCCTAATGGACCAACCTCCACTGGCTCTCACCATTACGACTGTGAACAAATGGTGCTGAATCAAGCATAGCAGGATCATCCATGTATCAAGACTCTATAGACACAAACCCCAGTATGCCACGGTTAAAGAACAGGGCCTGGTTTATTCATATTACTATCACTCCCTGCCTCCCTCCCTCAAAGAACCTTGTGGGAGCATGCATGGAGGTTCCCGCATGTTATTCTCACTACAATCCTCCATGTGTTCCCTTGGATGTGAGTCCCACTGTGTTCAATGGGATTTCCTCCCTTGTTTAGTAGGTTTAGGATCCACAGACTAAGTTAGGCAGTGGACTGCCCCAGAGTGACCCAGCGACATCAGCAGCTGAATGGGGATTTGAGCCTTGTCTTCTCAGTCTGACATTCTGTCCACAAAGCTGCACTGGCCCCTTGAAACAATTCTGTAGTGGTGCGGGAGCTGGGGCCACCACTTCCAAGGTTGCTGCCATGTTCCTAACGCTGCCTATGGAACCTCTACCAACATACGCCAGTGCCACCTTCCTCTCATTTCAGCACCATGCCACCTGTCCTAGACCATCTCAATAACTTGCCCATGATGGATGTGCCAAAGGAAATGTGGGAGCAGGAGGAGAGGAGAGGTGGCAAAAGGGAGGAATGGCAGCTGCCTTATTGGGAGAGCATTTGGCATAGCAGGCCAGTGTCTAGTGCGCCCTAAGCCAGGCCATCTTCAGTGAGGGCAGCCTGTTGCTATGTGGATGAGAGACATGGGAACCCTCCCTTGCCTTATGCTCTCCGTTGCCACAGCAACCGCAGAAGGGGTGTTTACTTGCCAGCATGTTGGGCTCACGGGGCCAGCTGCAGACATGTGCAACCGACAGAGCAAAATGATAATGTCGCACACTGCTATAGAGGAATGCTGCGTTTTCATGGGTGGATCAGAGCTTGCAAAAACTGCTTACTGCCAGAAGAAGGCTTCAGTGTGGACCAACCATCCCCTGCTGGAACTGTTTGGTACTTGCCTGGATATAAATTGCAGGGCCTTCCTTTCTGCTAGGTCAGTGGTGAGTAGAGATGGCTGAGAAATGTGATGGGGAACCTGCAGCCCAGCAGATCATGCTGGCTTGTAACTCCTTTCAAACCCAACCAGCATGGATGATGGGGGCTGGAGTCCCGCAATACCTAGAGGCCCCACAGGTTAGCTATTCCTGCTTCATTATTACCGTATTTTTTGCTCTATAAGACTCACTTTTTTCCTCCTAAAGAGTAAGGGGAAATGTGTGTGCGTCTTATGGAGCAAATGCAGGCTGCACAGCTATCCCAGAAGCCAGAACAGCAAGAGGGATTGCTGCTTTTACTGCGCAGCAATCCCTCTTGCTGTTCTGGCTTTTGAGATTCAGAATATTTTTTTCCTTGTTTTCCTCCTCCAAAAACTAGGTGCGTCTTGTGGTCTGGTGCGTCTTATAGAGCGAAAAATACGGGTATATATCTTTTCCTGCCACTATCCACTCACTGTAGGTGTGTGCGGTATTTGAGGAAATAATCAGGAAATGCTTATTCCTTTCAAACTAGAATGCAGCTGCCGAATGGTCTATCCTAGTAACTACACTCATAACACAAACTAAAAGTTATCACTAATAAAACAACTAAAAGCAACTAAACAAATAGTGATCAACAGGCTACCTGCAACAGACACAGGAATAATCAGATCAGGGAAAGAATGGCATGCAAAAGTACCCTAAGGAAAACGCGTTGTAAACCTCAAAGTCGGGAATCACATTGGTGAAAGATGGAACTCCACAGCGCCATCTGATGTCACAGGGTTATAACACATATAAAATGCTTTTTCTTTACTAATGTAGCTGAGTCCTATGTCTAGAATGCCCTCCCCTCTCAAGTGTGAACGGCACCAACTTTGAGGGAGTCATTTCAGCAATAAGAAACAATGTATGGCTATTCACCCTAGCATTTGCCAAAGTTTTGTCATTACCTGGCTGGTGGTGTTGATATACTGTCTGATTTTGTTTTTTAAGTTGAATCTAAATTAAATTTGGGTGTTGTTTTTTTCTATTTTAATGTTTTTCGTCTCTCTGAGATTGTTGAACAATGAAAAGCGGGGCTAAAAATAATTTAGATGAACAAAGAAGCAGATAGAATGGGAGGGAAGGATACAGGACCGGGGTAGAGGTGGGAAGAAAAAAGCAAGATTGCAAAGTCTTCCACAGATTTGTTGATGTACTTTCCTGGCAGATGCGTTGATTGTGGGTTCTGCTTGAGGGAAATCCTGGGGGTAGATGGGGGTAGATCCCACTGAGCAGATAGCACCATGCACATGAAATTCAACATCACGCTGCAAGAACCAAACTACAAGAGAAATAATATCTGTAGTAATGGAGCTGTTCTGCCAGTATAGATGTTCGCTGCCATTAACATGCTGTGGAATGCTTTCAATAACCACTGTGATCCCTGTGCCATAGCTGTACCACTCATTGCTAATAGCCGGTCATAGAAACAGGGATGAGCTGTACAATGTAGCTACTGTGGAAAGAATAATAATAAATGGGAATGGCTGCTCAGGGGTGTTGTCATCCCCAAAAATAGTCCAGAAGGCTCTCACAACGTTATACTTCTGGTCTTCCAAACTAGAAAAACTTCCAACGTGACAAAAACGCCTGTGTCCTCAGGTGGGCCTGCTTGTATAAAAAAGTAATGTGGGGAGCTGGCCCTGAGATATTACGGATGTGCTTTTGTCCTCCAAAAGCTGCTTGCTCAGCCACATCTCTCCCAGGTGAGAAGAGGGCAGAGCTGTTGAATTGCAACTGTGCTATGGAAAATTGAATCCTTCCTGCAACGCTGTATATTATTAACTCAGAGGCCTTCTGCAGTGTTTGCCTTGGGACGTGCTCATCTAGCCAGCTTTTATTCGCGTGCGCTGCCTTTCTGCTTTAATAAATGTGCCAGCAGAGGCTGAGACAATGAAAGCCAGGCACCTCTTTGATCAAACCACTAGCACTGGCTGAAGCCCTTTGAGCAGCAAGGAATCGAGAATGTAGCTTCTGTTATTTACAGGGTCAAAGGCGAAGGGGAAAATATCTTGCTGCCTCCAGCACGACATCTCCAAATGGCGGGACATCATAGGAAGGAGTAAAGTGATCAAAGGGTATGTGGCATCATTGCATTCCTCTAGAGTTATCCGGGGTGACAAGGGGACAGGATCTGCAAGATGGCATGGATCTGAAGAACCACTGCCTTTTATCTTCCTCACACCCCTAAACCTAAAGCACATTCTGTGAAAGCAAAGCAGGAGGCAGCAGATGTAAGCCTTGAGCTCATCCCCTACCTACGCATTTGGAACATGGAGCGCAATCAGCTATGTTCATGCACGATTCTCCATCTCCATATGCATATCCACAACAAAAATGGGCGGGCAGATTGCATGCACGTACACACCCAGTTCAAGAGAACATTCAACATCATTTGAGAAGGATAGGTACAAGTGTGGGACTTGCTCCTATGCATCCCCATGTGAATAGTTTATCCACTCAGGATCTGAATGGATCTGAAATTAGTACGACTTACTTCCATACAATATGCAGTATGTACTGGGACAATAAACTGGCCAAAAGTGTCTTTCAGGACTCCTAAAAGACAGTAGCTATTGCAGTAAAAAAAAAGCCACAAAAACTTTGGCATGAGAATTTTACAAGATATTGCTCCATAGAACTGATAGACAAGTGAATTTATGTGGCTCAAGAAATGATATAATAAATTAAAGTGAGAGGGCACCTCTGAAGGCCATGTTCTCTCCAGCTGTTGTATTATTAAGCATCTTGCTACGTAGGCTGCTAGTAGTGGATAAATAGACAACCCCTTTCTTGGGCAGTGTGTCAAAACCGGACCAAGGTTATGAATATGGGGCTTACTATAATCAGTGCAACCTTGTTAGCTTGATGGGTGAAACTGTATCTCTACAAAGGGCTGCAATTATAATACAATGCACACCTTCTGAGTCAAAGGTGACTGTTGGGGGGAAATGAAGAGAATATTGTTAAAATATAGATCCTGTGAATGAAACTAGATTGGCAGAATACCCATGATTATGATAGATGAGTGAAAGGTGGG